AATAAAGCTATGGCCCCACACCTTGTAAGGCCACCCAAGAGAGACAGGTCATAGCGAACAGTTCTGACAAAATGTGGTCCACTGGAGGAGGAAATGGCAACCCACTCCAGTATTCTTATCATGAGAACCTCATGAACAGTATGAAAAGGCAAAAAGATATGACACTGGAAGATAAGGCCCCCAGGCTGGAAGGTGTCCAATATGCTACTGGGAAGAGCAGAGGGCTCTTTACCAATTACTAATTTACTAATTACTAATAGTTCCAGAAGGAATGAAGCAGTTGTGCCAAAGTGGAAATGACACTCAGTCATGGATGTTTCTGGTGGTGAAAGTAAAGTCTGATGCTATAATGATTGCACAGGAACCTGGAATGTTAGGTCCATGAATCAAGGTAAATTGGACATGGTCAAGAAGGAGATGGGAAGAATGAATGTTGACATCTTAGGAATCAGTGAACTAAAATGGACAAGAATGGGCAAATTTAATTCAGATGACCATTATATCTACTACTATGGGCAAGAATCCCTTAGAAGAAATGGAGTAGCCCTCATAGTCAACCAAAGAGTCTGAAAGGTAGCACTTGAGTGTAAACTCAAAAACAAGAGAATGATCCTGGTTTGTTTCTAAGGCAAATCATTCAACATCACAGTAATCCAAGTCTGTGCCCAATCACTGATGCCAAAGAAGTTGACCAGTTGACCTACAACACCTTCTAGCACTAACACCAAAAAAAGATGTCCTTTTCATCATAAGAGATTGGAATGCTAAAGTAGGAAGTCAAGAGATACCTGGAATAACAGGCAAGTTTGGCCTTGGAGTACAAAATGAAGCTGGGCAAAGGCTAACAGAGTTTTGTCAAAAGAACATGCTGGTCATAGGAAACACCCTTTTTGAACAATCCAAGAGATGACTCAGTCTCTGAAATCAGACTGATTATGTTCTTTGCAGCCAAAGATGGAGAAGCGCTATACAGTCAGCAAAAACAAGACCTGAAGCTAACTGCAGCTCAGATCATCAACTCCTTATCGCAAAATTCAGGTTTAAGTTGGAGAATGTAGGGAAAACCACTAGGCCATTCAGGTATGACCTAAAAAAAAAAAATCCCATATGATTATACAGTGGAGGTAATGAATAAATTCAAAGGATTAGATCTGGTAGACAAACTGCCTGAAGAACTATGGATGGAGGCTTGTAACACTGAACAGGAGGCAGTGACCAAAACCATTCCAAGAAAAATAAATGCAAGAAGGCAAAGTGTTTGTCTGAGGAGGTTTTACACATAGCTGAGGAAAGAAGAGAAGTGAAAGGCAAGGGAAAAAGGGAAAGATACACCCAACTGAATGCAGAGTTGCAGAGAATAGCAAGGAGATAAGAAGGCCTTCTTAGGGAAAAAAATAGAAGGCCTTCTTAAATGAACAATGCAAAGAAACAGAGGAAAACAATAGAATGGGAAAGACTAGGGATCTCTTCAAGAAACCTGGAGACATCAAGGGAACATTCACCAAGGACAGGCATGATAAAGGACAGAAACAGAAGGATCTAACAGAAGCAGACAAGATTAAGAAGAGGTGGCAAGAATATACAGAAGAACTATACAAAATGGCCCAGATAATCATGATGGTGTGGTCACTCACCTAGAGCTGGACATTTTGGAGTGTGAAGTCAAGTGGGCCTTAAGAAGTATTACTATGAGAAAAACTGGTGGAGGTGACAGAACTCCAGCTGAGCTATTTCAAATCCTAAAAGACAAAGTTGTTCAAGTGCTGCATTCAATATGTCAGCAAATTTGAGAAACTCAGCAGTGGCCACAGGACTGGAAAAGGTCACTTTTCATTCTAATCCCAAAGAAAGTCAATACAAAAGAATGTTCAAATTACTAAACAACTGTGCTCATTTCACATGCTAGCAAACTTATGCTTAGAATCTTTTAGGCTAGGCTTCAGCAGTATGTGGAAAGCTTTACAGCCTGAGCTACCAGGGAAGTCTCGAGGCTAGGCTTCAGCAGTATGTGAACCGAGAACCTCCAGATATACAAGCTAGGTTCCAAAGAGGCAGAAGAACCAGAGATCAAACTGCCTGTATTTGTTGGATCATAGAGAAAGCAAGGGAATTCCAGAAAAACATCTACTTCTGCTTCATTGACTATTCTAAAGCCTTTGACTGTGTAGCCCACAACAAACTGTGGAAAATTCTTAAAAGAAATGGGAATATCAGAGCACCTTACTTGTCTCCTGAGAAACCTGTATACAGGTCAAGAAGCAACAGTTAAAGCCACACATGGAACAACAGACTGGTTCAAAAGTGGGAAAGGAGTACGTCAAGGCTGTATATTGTCACCATGTTTATTTAACTTATATGCAGAGTACATCAGAGAAATGCTGGGTTGGATGAATCACAAGATGGAATCAAGACTGCCAGGGGAAATATCAACAACCTCAGATATGAAGATGATACCACTCTAATTGGAGAAAGTGAAGAGGAACTAAACAACCTCTTGATGAGGGTGAAAAAGGGGAGTGAAAAAGCTGGCTTGAAACTCAACATTTAAAAAACTAAGATCATGGAATGTGGTCCCATCACTTCATGGCAAATAGAAGGGAAAAAGTGGAAGCAGTGAGAGATTTATTTTCTTGGGCTCCAAAATCACTGCAGACTGTGACCACAGCCATGAAATTAAAAAGATACTTGCTCCTTGGAAGGAAAGCTATGACAAACCTAGATAGCATATGTAAAAACCAGAGACATCACTTGGCTGACAAAGATCTGTATAGTCAAAGCTACGGTTTTTCTAGTAGTCATGTATGGATGTGAGAGTTGGGACCATAAAGAAGGCTGAGTGCTGAGGAACTGATGCTTCTGAATTGTGATGCTGAAGAAGACTCTTGAGAGTCCTCTGGACTGCAAGATCAAACCAGTCAATCCTAAAGGAAATCAACCCTGAATACTCACTGGAAGGACTGATGCTGAAACTGAAGCTCCAATACTTCAGACACTTCATGTGAAGAGTCTACTTATTGGGAAAGACCTGATGCTGGAAAAGATAGTAGGCCAAAGGAAAAGTGGGTGGCAGAGAATGAGATGGTTAGGTAGCATCATCAACTCAATGGAAATGAATTTGAGCAAACTCTAGGAGAGAGTAGAGGACAGAAGAGCCTGGCATGCTGCAGTCCATGGGGTTGCAAAGAGTTGGACACAACTTAGCAACTGAATAAGAACAACAACATACTGGAATATATATGTCATGTACATTGGAATATGTGTGTGTATGTGTGTGTGTGTGTGTGTGTATGGTCAATAAGCACAGAAGATTCTCAACACCACTGGCCATCAGGCAAATGCAAATCACACTCACTTCACACTCACTAGTATGGCTATGATAAAAGAAAATAAATGCTGGAGAGTATACGGAAAAATTGGAACCCTCATACATTGCATGTAAAGTGGTATAGCTGCTTGGAAAAAGTCTTTCATTCCTTGCAAAGTTAAACTTAGAGTTGCCATGTTACCCAGCAATTTCATTCATAGGTATATGCTCAAAAGAATTGAAAGCGTATGTCCATGCCAAAACATTCACACTGAATGGTCAACTGAAGTATTACTCATAATAACCAAGGAAGGGAAATAGCTAAAACGTTAACTGAAGAACAGATAAACGAAATGATATGCTCATACAATGAAACATTATTCACTCATAAAAAGGAATGAAGAACTGACTCATGCTATGAGAATGGATGAACCTTGAAAATATTGTGCTATGTGACAGAAGTCAGACAGAAAAAGGCACATATTGTGTGATTCCACTTATGTGAAATGTCAAGAACAGGCAAATCTATGGAGACAGAAAGTAAGCTAGTGATTGCTAGGACTTGCAGAGAGAAAGCAACAGGAAGTGACTGCTAATGGGTATGAGGATGCTTTGGGGGGGTGATTGAAAATGTATAATAACGAAAACTAAGACAGTGGTAATGCCTGTACAATGGACTTCCCTGGTAGCTCAGCTGGTAAAGAATCTGTCTGCAATGCAGGAGACCCCGGTTTGATTCCTGGGTCAGGAAGATCCCCTGGAGAAGGGAATGGCTACCCAATCCAGTATTCTTGCCTGGAGAATTCCATGGAAAGAAGAGCCTGGCAGGCTATAGTACATGGGGTGGCGAAGAGTCAGACATCAGTGACTAACACTTTCACTACTTTCATACAAGTACTGAATCATTATGTTGTAAATTTGAAACAAATGTCAATTATAACTCAATCAAGAAAAAGATTCAATTCCCAATGAACATACAAAAACAAAAATATACATATACTGGGAATTCCCTGGCAGTCCAGTGGTTAGGGCTCTGTGCTCTCACTGCTAATGGCACAGGTTCAATCCTTGGCAGAGGAACTAAGAGCCCTCAAGCCAAGTGGCATGACACCCCCTAAAAATACACACACCCACACACACACTTAATAGCTTCATAATATCTGAAGTAAAAATTAATAGTATTATGAGAAAAAGTTGATCATTTTTCATCATAGTGTGATATTTACACAGTCCTTAATTATTAATAGATTAAGTAGAAAAAAAATCCAGCAAGAATACAGAAGATTCAAACAACACAATTAACAAGTGTTACTCAAGAGACATCCAGAGTCTGACAAACAACATTTAGAGAACCCACAATTTCCTAAGGACACATAGAACAATCAAATACCAGATCACCTCACAATATTTTACAGAAAAAGTATCAAAAGAAAAAGCAGCAATAAGTCAGAAGTTAATAAAAAGATTTGAAAAAACTAGAACTGAATGATAATGCAGTGGTTCTCACACTTTTGGTCTTAGAACCTTTTATACTCCCCCAAATTTGTGAGGAAGCTGAAAAGGTTTTGTTTATATGGGTTATATCTATTAATATTGATGAAAAAATAATTATATTTACAAAAAAATTAGTGAGCAGCAGTGAGTTTGTTTGCACAGAAGCTACCATGGTGCTTCCTGGTCTGGAGGTTTTACTCACCGTGTTGAAGTACTCGACGCCGGTGGCTTCAAATGCCCTGGCCACAGCTTGTGTTGTGGCCACGCAGGCTACAGGGTGGCCATTGCCTATGGACTTGCCCATGGTGACAATGTCGGGGACGAAGTCTTCCCCCTGCAGCTGGAAGGCCCAGAAGTGCTTGCCTACTCGGCCAAAGCCCACTTGAATCTCGTCTGCAACAAAGACCCCTCCGGCCCTGCGGATGTGCCTGTGGCAGAGGACACACGGCTGATGGGAGACTGTGGTGAGAGGGAGCAAACCAGGAGCTGAGATGTCCTGGAACTCTGAATCCTGGTGTTGCCAAAAATAAGGTCGGGTCCTGAGGCAGATATCTGGCCTTTTGGGAGCCACCATTTCTTCAGGGACTTTGACAACTCTGGCAATAGGCCAGGCTGAGGTTGGAATTTGGAAGCAAGGCTGGGAGACCCCACCCTCAGGCAGCCTCTCCCACCTACTCACCCTGCCACTTCTGGGAAGTAGCCAGCAGGGGGAATGATCTGCCCTCCCACACTGGGCAGGGATTCAGCAAAGAATGCTGCAATCTGTGGAGGAGAAGGGAATGGCACTGTGGTGGGGCTGAGTGGCAAGCTGGTGCATCCTGCTGATGCTGGCTCAGTGCTGGCTCCAAACATGAGTTACTATTATCACCGTGCCCCCACTTTGGGGTCCACATCATATCTGAGTATCTACAATGTAGATTTTTCAGGCCTCAAATCAATTCTTACCACCTGGAGGTAAGACCCCCTGTACTTAGTGTGTTACAGATGAAATTCACTGACTTCTCCCCCCATACAGTGAATCCCATTCCTCCTAATTAGGACAGAAATCTGGGCCCATCCTTGATCCAGGCTCCTTCTTCACCCATCAGCTGGCACAGCTTCTGACTCTTATCCCTGTAACATCTTTGTACCCTCCTTTCCGCTTCTGGGCAGATCTGCTAGTTTCTACTTTGCCCTCCTGCAGCTGCTTTCTAACTGAACATCTCTTCCAGTCCATCCTTCACTGGCCACCACGGTAAAGCCTCAACCCAGACACTGAGCTCCTCAATGTCCTATTTAAAACCCATCACCAACCCTTTTGCTTACAACAACGACTTCCAAACTCTGCTCTGCCTTGGAGCCGTTTCAGAGACTACTGCTGGGATAAAGAAAGGACCAGTGGGGTGGGAAACTGGCCACCCACCCATGCTAACCTTCAGAGCAATCTCTTTTTTGATTTAATAGAAGGAGGTGCAGAGCATCTGAAATGCATAAGCCAAGTTTCCCAGCTCTGATTCTGCCAACCTTTTTGGCCTGTCTTTTCTGTATATCCTGTGTTCAGTTGCCACTCTTTCAGCAAGTCTTCTAGAGAGCCTTCACACCAGTTGCTAGCTGCCTCCCTTCAACTGTTGCTGTGGCTGCTGCTCTTCCAGGGTAAGGCAATCTCTTGTCTCCCCACTGCTCAGGCCATCAGGCCTTTGCAGGGCACCATGTCAGACTGACACCATTCAAGAGCATCCCCTGGGCCCATTACTGTCTCTCCTAAAACTCTGTAAAGGTACCTCCTAGCCTCCAGTCCCTCAGCTAGAAGGGCACTTGCAGTCCTCTGACCTATGGTCCCACCTGCCTCTCTAGGTTTATCTTCTGCCTGCACAGCCTGACCCTGCAGTCACATGGTTTCTGCACAGGCCACTGGTCTGTTGAAGATGTCTTTCCTTGTCTACCTCCTAACCTGCCTTGAGTGGCTAATGCCTACTTACCTTCTATTACTAAAATTAGTCAATACCCGCTTGTCCCCTGACAGGCCCACCTTCACACCCACATCAGTCCAGCCTGGACCCCTGGACCCCAGTAGTGTCCAGGATATATCTCTACCTAAACACTCAGTTGAACAATTAACCCCTCTCCTAGATTCCCAAAGGGCAGGCCCTGGTTCCAATTTCTCTCAGGGTTCCCAAGATCCAGTCCAGGGCAAGCAACATTTGGGGCTTGCTGGACCAGACCTGCATGGATGTGGTTACCTTCCTGCCTTTCTCCTGTGCGCTGCTGACCACTCGTTTCACCTCACTGGCATAGGCCACAGCTGGATTGGGGTGGTCTTCCCGGTAGGGTCCCCGGTAGGTATCTGGGAGAGGTGCCTGTGGGGAGTGACAGCGCCATGTCATCCAGGCTGGGGTGCAAGCACCGACCTGTTGCCCACGTGAGCAGCGCATACCACATGGACCCACTCCTTCTGGCCATCCAGGTCCCGGAACTTGTAGGGGCTGATGTCGATCAGGGAGCTCAGATGACCATGATAAGCACTGGGGAGGAGAAAGGAGAGAGGACTTAGGCTTGTACTTCCTGGCCTGGCCTTGACAACTGTCCATCCATCTCAGGAAACAGTCAGGCAAGACCAAGCTTTCTGACAGAGCCCCCAAGTCCTGGGGCCAGGAATGAACACAGGTCTTGGAGTCAGCAAGCCTTCCTGCAAGGCCACTATTTAGCTATGTAACAGTAGCTAACTGTTAAAATCTTTGGGTTCAGTCCTCTCCTCTGTAAAGTTGGGGCAGGGTGCTCTTTCTCTCTTGTGGTTGTGATTTTAAATGTGATAATGCTCTAACCCTGGGCCTGGGTCCTGCACATAGCAGATACTCAATACACTGGGAGTTACAGTTTTAATACCTAAAATGTGGGACCAACTCTCACCACCTTATAAAGCATTCTCTGCTCCCCAGAAGCTGCCATTATGGAAGAGATGCCAGGGGGAAAAAAGACACTGGGTATCCGCATGGGGACTGTCTTTGTGGCCAGGTCCTCATGATCCTCTCCAGGCCCAGGCCTCTCATCTTTCCTGCCCAAGGCACCTAAAGTCAGAGCCTCACTGATTCCCAATAAGCGGCAGGCCCACACTCCTGGAAATGGCACTTACTGATCTAATACCACCACATCCCAGTGTCCCGTGTACTGGCGTGCCAGCCTCAGGGCCAGGTCGTTGGCTTCTGACCTATGACAGAAAAGGTGGGTACTTCTTGAACAGCTGTCCAGGGCTTTCCCTCCTGGATAACTGCTTCCTACAGAGAAACCTGGAGGGGAAAGGAGGAACCCTCCTAGCAGCAAGAAGATTCTTAGGACACCATTCGTTAGTCATTCACTTATTCATTCAATAAATATATATCAATGCCTTCAATGTGCTAGGAGCTGGGGGCAAAAATATTAAGTAAGACAGGCAGGCCCTGGCCCTCTTGGAACTTACGTTCTAGTATGTGTCACAAAAGCCCGAAAACGAAGACAGCATGATCGTTTGGTAAGTGCTACAATGGACCCGGGGCGTCAAGAACTAGAAGGGGCTCTACCTTTGATAAGGGGTGTTAGGGGCTTGAATCATGTCCCCCAAAATTCATGTGTTGAAGCCCTAACTCCTAATATCTCAGACTGTGATATTTGGAGACAGGGCCTTTCAAGAGGTGATTAACTTAATATGAGGCCATCTGTGTGGCCCTAAACCAATATGACTGGTGTCTTTATAAGAAGACATTTGGACATACAGAGAGACAAGGATTGTGCATGATTGGAAAAAGGCCATGTGAAGACAGTGAGAAGGTTGCCAGCTGAAATAAAGGTGAGAGGCCTCAAAGAAACCAAACCTGCCAGCACCTTGATCTTGGATTATGACTTCCAGAACTATGAGACAATACATTTCTGTTTAAGCCACCTTGTACGCAGTGTTTTCACTATGGCAGCCAGAGCTGACTAAGGCCATACCTGTAGAGTCTTGAGGGTAAAGTTCCTATGCAGAGTGAGCAGCACACACAGACCTTGTGAAGGAAAAGAGCTCAGGAAACCACAAGACGACAAAGAAGGCCAGGAGAAACCTGAGCGAGGAAGTGGGGAAGACAGGTAGGGCTGCAGAAGGGGCCTGGATTTTCTTCTCAGTGCCAGAGGAAGCCACTGTAAAGTTTTAATCAGAGAAGGGAGATGATTCAGCACCCATATGAGGAGGAAACCTCTCTGTGTATCTAATGGAGTAGAAAGCAACTAAGGTGCAAGTGAGAACTAGAAGGACACAAAGATGAGAGCAGGTGGTGGCCATGTAGATGGAGAGAGACGGATGGAGTTAGGAGACAACATGGAGACAGATGTGATAGGCTTAATGCAGGACTGGAAGGAGGGTGCATTTCTAACTTGAGCAGAGGTGCACATGCCACTGTCATTTGCCAGGAGAGATTAGGGTGGTGGCGGTAGTGGTGGTGAGGGACAGCCGGTCGTCTTGGGAAGGTCTGGGGAGGCTGCCTGAGAATGTCGGGAAGAGCCAATGCCATGGTCCCACGCCAGGTCTTAGTGAAGTCGATCAGCTCTTGTCTCTTTTGGACAGGTGATGTTAGACACGTTCCAAAGTCAAGTGGGTGGTTAGAACCTTGAGGCAGAAACACATGGGGTCATCTGGGTCTAAGATACAAATGTGGGAGTCACCAGCATGTGGACAATATATAATACACGGGAATGGATGAGGTCAGGAAGGGAGAGGGGCTCAGAGAAGACCAGTCCTGAGGAATGGAAGGGGAGGAATCGGCAAAGGAGACAGAGGAGTGGCCAGAAGTTGGCAGAAAACCAGAAGCGTGAAATGCTCTGGAAGCAAGACCAGAAAGCATTTCCAGAGAGTGGTAACTATCAATATTACTGAGAGACACAGGAAGACAAAGGCAGCAAAGAGACCAGATCTCCCCACTCCTATGCCTCATTATTCTCTGTACTTTTCTCTCCAGGGCACACTGGGTAGGTTCTATGTACATGCCTTCACCTGCCATTTTGGCCGCCACCGCTACTCCCAGCGTAGCATCTTCTGTCACCCAGTCACTGAACTGGTGCCTAATGGTGTCCATTCTTGCGCTCCTCCAGCCCTGGTGACATCACTTACCTGATTAAAGCCCTCTGATGGCTTCCCGATGCTCTGAGGATAAACAAGTACCTTACCTGTCTAAAGAAACCCTGAGTGATGGGCCCTGCCTCTCTCCCCAGTGTCTCCGCCCACCCTCTGCCCTCCCTCAATGGCTGCCTTTCAGTTCAACTGTGCTGGGGTGCAAATATTCGTCCTGCCACAGGGCCTTTGCACAGGCTGTTCTGTGTGGTAACCAACCTTGACGAGAATACTGCAAATGGCGCTGGCAGCAACCTTTCTTCCTCCTCATCCAGCTAGCCCCCAGTCAATGCTTAGCCTAACATCACTTCTTCAGGGAAGTCTTCCCCAACCCTCTCAGAGGAGGCCAGGCCCCTCAACTGCTTCTATGCCTCACTATTCTCTGTATTTTTCCTCTAGATCAAGACTCCTCTTTGGCATTTTGTATTTCTTTGAAGAACCTTGGATGTTTCTATTTCTTATGGCTCTTATGGAGCCGATTTTGGCTGTAGCTCCCAGCACCATGCCCCTATATTCTTAGAGCAGACAAAGGAACATATTACCTTGGTAAGCCCCAACAACAATCCTAGAAGGGAGGTAATGACACCCCTTACAAAGAGAACAGGAAACTGGATCTGACAGAGAAGCAGCAGGGCCTGCGGCTGGGAAGTGTGAGTGCCCAACACACTGAGGGCTGCCTCTCCCCCAACTCAGTCAGTTACACTATGCTTTGCCCATGTGAGCAAATCACTGCCTCATCCTTTTGCTGGGGGCTGGCCATACCATAGTGCACTTACCCAGAATTCAGGAAATAAAACACACAGAGCTTCTCTGGCAGGGTCTTTGACAGCCTCTGTGCGTAATCCACAATGTTGTCGTGCAGGTATCGGCTGTTGGTGTTGAGCACCTGGTTCTGTTCGTGTGCTGCTTGGACCACGAGAGGGTGGCAGTGCCCAACTGCAAGAGGGCCACCTCTATCATAAGGCTGGCTCCGTGCAGCCAATCCCTCCAGGCCACCCCCAGCCCCAATCTGTAAACCCAACTAGAGGAGATGCAGTTATGGAGGGAGAGGTACAGAGGAAAGAGGGGAGTCTGAAGACAGAGGTGCCAGTCTGGAAAGGAAGCCCTAGAAAGGAGCCCCTGAGATTCTGGCAGGAGGCAAAGTTCTCTGGCAGAAACCTGATCTAGAAAACCCATGTTCTTAAGGAAGGTTCTTGAGGCCTTCTTCTTGACAAAGATGGGGGGGTGGGATTTCGGGGATGAAGATGGCATCGGGGTGTCTGCTTGACTTTACCAGTTAGGGAGGCTGGAGGTAATGACTGCCAACAGCCAAGGCTTATAACCAGAGAATGAAGATTACTGGCGGCTCACCAAGTGTCAGGCACACTCAAAGCAAGTTACATGAATTAACTCAATCCCTCCAAATGTCTGGAAGTGTGTATCTAGGATCATCATGTCCATTCTGCAAATGAGCAAACCGAACAGAGACTGAAGCTTGCCCAAGACCACAAAGGGAGTAAGTGGAGGACAGGGATATGAACACAGGAAGCCTGGAACCAAAGCCTCTGCTTTCAGCTCTACTAACTTCCAATTTCCCTACTGGGTCACTGGACTCCCTTTCCTTCCACGAGCTCTGGTGGCCTCATCTAGCTAACTGGATTCCTACTTAAGTTTCCTTGTCCAGGACCTGAAATGGTGACCAGGGCTAAAGCCTTGCTGTGACTGCCAGGGCCTGGCCAGGGTCCTGTTGGGTTGCTGATCATGGCTAGGCTGATTGCTGTTCTCTGAGCTCACCATCAGTCCCAAGTGGAACTGAACTGCTAGACTTAGGCCTTTGATTCCTGCTGGTTTAGGACAGCTTTAGTGGTGTTAAGTCACTCAGTCATGTCTTACTCTTTGTGACCCCATGGACTGTGGCCCACCAGGCCCCTCCATCCATGGGATTTCCCAGGCAAGGATACTGGAGTAGGTTGCTATTTCCTCTTTCAGGGGATCCTCCCAACCCAGGGATTGAACCCGGTCTCCTGCACTGCAGACATTTTACCATCTGAGCCACCAGGGAAGCATTTTAGCACAGCGAGTGTTTGGATGTTTCCACAGTTTCCATAGAAACACTGGGCTTCCTCTGCACACGGATGCTGGCTAAGTTGAACCTGAGTTCCCTGCACCTCTCTGCAACCTGAAGATTACCCCTGAATTAGGTTCTGTCTTGGCATCCTCTCCTGCCCCATCTTGAAGTATGATACTGACCGTGAGCCACATTGTTGATGCAATCGATGTATTCTGCCCCCTGTTCATCATACATGTACTGCCCTTGGCCCCGGACAATCTTAATAGGATCCTCAGGAAAAAAGAGTCTGCAGGAACTGCTGTAGGGACAGGCAACAAATGGACAGCCATGTCTGAAGATCTGAAGGAAGAAATCCACCCATCACAGGCCTCCCCCAACATCTTCCCAGTTTCTGGAAAGGACAAAAGCTTGAAGGGCAAGGTGCTGTGTCCCTGCCTCCAGTTCCCCCACTCCACAGGGGGCTGGAAAGGTGAAGGATGGGTTAAGAAGTTGCTAAAACTTAAACTGTTTAAGTCATTTGAAGACTATGTGGCTTCATACATATCTGAATGAATGTGCCCAGAGTTCCTTGGGTCCTGGAAAAAGGGGGCTGCTCCAGACCCACGGGCTCCCTAGGGCAGTGTCTCTTTGCTGGGAGTTTGAAGAGGGCTGACTCTCGGCCCTAGTGGTCCTAGCTTGCAGGCCCAAGCTCTAGCCCAAGGCTGCCTCACACTCCACGTCCCACCAAGAGCCCCTCAGACACAGGTCAAGGGTAGACTTTCTCTAAGGCTGCCTGTGAGCCGACTCCCCCACCCCCACCTTTCGTCTGGACTTTCAATCCCTTCCTGGGTTACTGTCTGGCCTGCCCCAGGTCCGGAGAGCGGGCCACCACTGGGCGAGGTCTTCCCAGGCGCCCGGCTGCAGATGCGGGGGTGGATAAGACGCTGCGGGGGAGGCGCAGGAAGCGACCGCCTGCCACAGGCTGAACGCCGCAGGGTCTCAGGAGCCGTAGGCTCGGGAGCCGGACGAGGCCGGGCGGAGGGGAGCCCTGCAGGCTCCGCGCCGGACGTGCGTACGTCTTACGCGCCGCCCCCACGTCGCTGTCTCTGTACCTGAGCAGCCGCCGCCTCAGGGCCAGAGTCGCGGCCTTCCCACGCTGATCCGCCGCCATAGCGCTCGCGGGCCGTCGCTGGGGGACGCCGGGCGGAGCGTCCGGGCTCCGCCCAAAGCCACGCCCAACAGCGGCCCCGCCCATCGCAAAGAGCGACTCAGGGCTCCTGTTTGCCCCGCGGCCCCGCCCCCAGGCGGTCTATTAGGAGTTTGTTCCTTAATTAATTTGGCTAGAGTCTGGTGGGCTCCTCACCCCAGCGAAGTTCCATAGACAGTCCCGAGCGGAAGCCGGGTTTGTGCTCGCCTTGCCTAATGCTGCCCCAGCTCTGGTTTCCCGACAAATCTTCAAATCACTGACCTCGCGCTCCCGACCTCTGTGGTTTCCTTCCTCGGGAAGTGTACCCTGGTGATCCCGCCGCTGCGCCTGCACCCGAGGGGGCTCTGCGCTTCGAGAGGCCTCACCTGGGGCCTCAGGCTCAGTCCTTGAGTTGCCTTCCCTTCCCGAGCATAAAATGGGATGCGCCGTAAGCTTGCCCTGGGAACGTGTGACAGGCACCCGGCCTGGTTCGGGTCTCAAGGCAGGCGAAGTTCAGGAGCAGCGGAAGGGGCGCCACCGCACAGCCCCTGTGAAGAAGCAGCAGAAAGGGCAGAAGGAGAGCACAGGGCCACTTGTTGGGGCTGGCCGCGGAGGTCCTGGGCGTGACCTCGGGACTCCTGCTGGAATCCAGGCAGGGTGAACCCGAGCTATAGAACCACTATGAGAATCTTACAGTGTTTAGGTGGAAGGAGAGGTAGGAGGCCTCCCGAGCCTTATCCACGGCCAGGAGACGCAGGCTCAGACAGGGAAACGGCTGTTCTTAAACACATAGCAAGAGTGAAGCAGAGGCTGGACTCCCAACTCCAGGGAGTGACAGGAGAACGCCCCTAAGGTACTGGAAAGCAGGATACGGAGAGATATCCCCTCCGGGAACTTTCTGCCCTGGTGAAGCCTAGAACCAGGGCAGGAGGCTGCAGCCTGAGCTGGGTGGCCTGAGCAGGCTGGAGAAAGGGGAGGCTCCTGCTGTCCTTCTTGTCACCTCTTCACGAGTCTCAGCCTTCTGCTTCACCCCCTCATTGCTGATTTCTTCATTTCTTCTCCAAGACTTAAGGCCTTTTTTTTTTTTTTTGGCTGAACTGTGCAGCTTGTGGGATCTTAGTTCCCCAACCAGAGATTGAACTTGGGTCCCGGCAGTGAAGTGCCGAGTCCTAACCAGTGGACTGCCAAGGAATTCCTACTTAAGGCATTTATTAAAGAATATTTGGAGTTTCATTATTGTGGTAACATATACACAACAAAATTTACCATTTTAACATTTAAAAAGTATTTTATTTTTGGCTATGTTGGGTCTTAGTTGCAGCACACAGGCTCTCTAGTTGAGGCGTGAGGGCTTAATTGCCCTGTGGAATGCAGGATCTTAGTTCCCCCACCAGGGATCGAACCAGCATCTCTTGTGGTGGAAGGTAGATTCTAACCATTGGGCCACCAGGGAAGTCCCCATTTTAACATTTTTAAGTGTACAAGTTCAATGGCATTAACGGCATACACTCAGGTGCGTTCATCACCACCATCCATCTCCAGAACTTTTTCATCTTCACACACAGAATGAAGTTTCTTACTTTTAAATGTAAAGCTGAATTAAACTTTAGGTATGATTCTTGAAAAAAATTCCTCCCAAATTAACCAAGGAAGTTTGCTTATGGCCTGTACTTTTTTTCTGAGGGCCAAGTGCCCCCCCCGCCCCCCCCCCGCCGCCGCATATGAAATGTGGTCATTGGTTTTCTCAATGGATCTGATCCTCTTCTCTGGTAGAGAGACCCATAGATGTCTGTACATCGTGCAGTTCCAGTTTTGTATGTAATGTGTATGCTTGTGGGCTTCCCAGGTGGTGCTAGTGGTAAAGAACCCACCTACCCACCTGCTGATACAGGAGACATAAAAGAAGTGGGTTTGATCCCTGGGTCGGGAAGATTTCCCTGGAAGAGGGCATGAGAACCTACTCCAGTATTCTTCCCTGGAGAATCCCATGGATAGAGGAGCCTGTGGGCTATAGTCCATGGGGTCGCAGAGACACGACTGAAGCGACTTAGCAGGTAGGCAGGAGTATGCTAGTGTGTATGTGTTTGTGTGGCAGAGGGAGTCTGAGAATCTTGTGAGGGGCTCTCTTTGGCCCTGTCTTGAGCCCAAACATAAGCCTGTCTTGTGACTCAGGACAGCTCAGAGAAGTCAGGTTACCTCAGGAACTTTTCCAGCTTTGAGGAAGAGGGTGAGAAGGCCACAATCAGGCCCAGCTCACATCTCACCCACTCCTGGGATGTCCAGAATCAGGAGGGTGGAAGTCAGACCAGGACTGGCCATTTCCTGGGCTGAAAGTATCTACAAGAGGGGCAGGACAACACCAGGAAGCCTCCCCCTTCCTGCTCAGAAAAGCCCACTCTTTTCTTCCTCTGGCCCCATGCTAAGCACTCCTGTGCCCATTCTCTCATGTCCGACCTTTGGGGTGGAATTGGAGGCCAGTGGGGCAGGGGAAGAGAGGAAGAGCTGAGTCAAGATTTGAAGCTAGGGCATGTGTTTCTCAACGCAGGTAGCATTGGCATTCTCACTGAGATGGTTCGTCAATGGGCAGGACTGTCCCTTGCATTTCAGATGCTTGATGTGCCTGGCCCTACCCAGTAATGCCAGGAGTGTCCCCCAATCGTGGTAACCAAAAGTAAACCATGCATTTCTGGTAGTATTCTAGGGATCAGGAGGACAGATACTGGGGTAAGCCCATTTCTCTCTGGCCTCAGCTTCATCTGCAAAAGGGGAAGTCATTTTTGTGACTAGTTTATATGCTATGGCACACAGTCGGGCTCCAAAAATGTGTTCTTTTGCTTCTGGAAGGGGTAGTTGGAGGCACAGCTGCCCTTCTTGGCAGGGGAACATGAGGTCCCCAGTCCTGAAGCCTCAGTTTTAAGGCAGCGTGCTCCTCGTGTCTCTGCTGGGACCGCAGCAAGTCAATCACTCTTATATAGTCTGTTGCCCCTACCCCAAGGTCTTGGAGGACTCTGCAGACTCTCAATTTGGAAGTTTGCAAAACCTGAGAATATACAGCACAAGGCCAGAAGAGGGCAGCAATGGACCATGAATGGCCCTGTCCTGCCCAAAAGAGCAGGAAAGACCCCCGACCCCCCCCCCCCCCCCCCCGGCCCGTCACCGCCCAGGTATCTGGGGAAGGGGGAACATGTGGCTTCTACTCTCATGAGGTTCTGCCCATCCAGCATCATGGTGCTTCCCATAGAGTCTATGCTCTGCCAAACAATTTTGGAAAGACAAACTGGAAGACATCCAAGAACCTCGGTTTGATGCCCCAAGCCTGCTACCGCATCTTGACTATGCATCCCTGGGTAGGGGACTAACTCCTTGGAACCCCACTTTCCCCACGTGTAAGGCAGAAATAGTGATACCAACCACATATGCCCTTTACAGGTTGGTGAGGGGATCCAGTGAGTTACCTGGGTGGTGTGCTATACTGTGTTTAATCACTTAGACTTGTCCAACTCTTTGTGACCCCATGGACTGTAGCCAGCCAGGCTCCTCCATCCATGGGAATTCTCCAGGCAAGAACACTGGAGTGGGTTGCCATACTCTCCTCCAGGGGATCTTCTCAACCCAGGGATCGAATCCAGGTCTCTCGCATTGCAGGCAAATTTTTTACCGTCTGAGCCGCCAGGGAAGCCCAAGAATACTGGAGGGATGACTGACAAGATCTGTGCAGTGATGCTGGAGCTCCAGAGGACACCTGGATGTCCAATGGTCTCCGTCAGTCATCACAGCCCCTCTGTGTTTTCCTTCATTTTCATGTTACTGACTTCCCTGGTGACCCACACGACTGGCTGAGCAGCATGGCCTGCCATTTATTCCCAGAAACTGAGGGAAATGGGCAGAGATTTGACTTATTCCTCCTCCTCAGCCAGCATGTGGTTGGACTTGTTTTTTTATTTTTTAGTTAGGAGGCCACATGGTGGGGCCTGGGGTACTGCTCATACCACGGCCTCCTTAGGCCTCAGTTCTTGGAGGGAGAAGGCTGGGATACCATCACGGCAGGCCCCATCATGTGCCTGGTTTTGCCACCTGAGAAATGGGCACACTTGCTGGACCCCTCTCTCAGGATTAAGGACCAACTGGGATGTAGAATTTTCTAAGATGGCTGAAACAAGATCCCCTATCCCACATTTTCTCTTTAAAATATGACATCGACAGTTTTCCCTTGAATTAGGGTGAACCTTTGATTCCGGCAGGAAGTAATACCGTATGACTTCTGAGGCTTGGTTGCAAAAGGTGACACAGACTCCATCTGGCTAACCTGGGACATTCACCTTGGGAATAACAGCCTTATGGTGAGGAAGCCCAGAACACACAGAGGTGTGCTGGCCATCAGAGGCCAGCCAACATCAACTACTGGATGTGGGAAAGCTTGAGTGACAGCTGCTGAATTGAGCCCATTACTCCCAGAATTATAAGACGGAAATAGAAAGAATCTTTTTTTTTTGGTTTGTTTGTTTGTTTTTGGCCGTGCTGCATGACTTACGGGATCTTAGATCCCCAACCAGGAATTGAACCCTGGCCCCAGCAGTGAAAGTGCCAAGTCCTCACCACTGGACCACCAGGGAATTCCCGAGGATCATTATTTTAAGGCAACAGATTTTGGGGTGATTTGTTATGCAGTAGTCATGGCTCATCAGATCAGAGAACACACAGCGGCTCAGTGACATGGGTGACTGGACAGAGGGCTCAGCTGGTATGTTAGCAGGGCTAGGCCTTGAGTCTGTGTCTTTCTAACTCCAAACCCCATCTTTGCCTTGAGCCTGAAATACTTATTCTGGTTTCTGGAGGTGGCTCTGGCCCAGGGAGAGTTCTCTTATCCCTCCCCACACAGCAAAGACCAAGCTGAAACCTCACCTAGGGATGGCACTAGGGGCAGTCTGCAAGGACAGACATACCCAGACACACATTTGTGATTTATTACACACAACAATATCCATCTACACAGAGAGGGGAGGCAACTAGTTGGTCTGGAGCTGGTGGCCGGGGCCCCTTGTCAGAGGGGGGAACCTCTTCTCAGAGCATCATCAGTTGAGGGTATAGGTCGCCTACTCAGACAGGCGTGGAAGCAGCCCTGAGGCTCTTTTCATTTGCATAGCTCACTCAGAGGACCCATTTTTGGCAGACTGACCAGAAATCCCCTGGGTGGGGAGACTTGGGGTCATCGAGGCCCAAACTCTGGGCTGGCGGTCCATCTGCTCAGGCTGGCAGTCCCATCATGTCCCTCATGTGGTGGGGGTGTGGTGAAAAACAGGAAACAGCAGACGTTCCAGCTTGGGACCTCCGCCTTCGAGGATCACAGGGCTCCCTGCTGCCAGGTCCACGTGGTGGTGATCACAGAGCCTGGCCTTCACTCCTGGCCAGAGGACACCTGTTCTCACAGCAGGCAGGCTGGTTCCTGAGGCCTGTGGCACTCGATGGGAGCTCAGCCCGCTTAGGTTGCTTCCCACAGCTCCAGCTATGGGTGCTGGGTGGGAGTCCTGCCCTGGTGAAGCCAGGGCCCAGGGGGCCAAGAATGGTGGGCAGCTGGCTGTGGCTGAGTGCAGAGGCCAGAGAGGCCAAGATCAGTTGTGTCTGCTATTCATGCCACGAGCCTTCGTGGATGGCATGGCTCCGGGGCTCCAGAGCTTCAGAGGGCAGGCTGTTGCAGGGCAGCGGAACAGCCGGAGTCTCTGCTCTCAGTCTCTGCTTTCGGTTGAAAGCCTAACCTGGCCTCTCTGCAGCCTCTCCTGAGCCAGGCAATTTACCTTCATCTCCTTCCTGGGAAAGCCAAGCCCCGAGGGAGCCCCGGAAGTACACAGTTCCCCCAGGGGGCCTGTCCGCTTTCCTGCCAGCTTCACACACTGGGGCTGGGCTAGGCACACTCTCCGATGTTAAAAGGCCACAGGTATCGGTGATGCATCCCGTGAAAAAAGATCAATATATTACTGTTTTGTTTTTACAAAAATTAAAAATGTCCATATGGATCTATACAGGTTGTAAACTGCGTGCTCAGGATCACTAGAAATGGAGAGAAAGACTAAAGGTGAGGAGGGAACTGAGGGGCCCCAGAAGCCCTGCCTCTGATCTGGGTATTCCTGTCCTGCCTATTTCCTTTGGAAGAAGTATGGCCCCCCAATCCTCTCATCCCAACCTCCTGAATTCCACCCTCTCTTGGGGCGGGGGAGGACAGTATGGACAAAGTCCCAGGGGCTGATGGCTTTGCCCTGGCTGGGCCAGGGCTTGAGTGAGCCCTGTATGACCAAGAGGGTGGTTTGCTCACCACCAGGATCACAACCCCGGGCCTTGGGCCACACGATGGAAGAGTCAAATCCAGGGTCACTCAGGGAGACCCGGCTGTTCCCTCACGATGTAGGGAGGATGGAGGGAGCGGCAGGCACACAGCCCCAGGGTTCCCTTGGCTCCCCCACTCCTCCTAGCTTGCCCTGGAGACTCTTCCCTGAAAGTTACCTTATGCCAGCAGCCAGGCACAGGCAGTCCATCGGGGCCCTGGAAAGGAAGAAGGTTTCAGTGACAAGGAGGCAGGGCTGGTCAGCAGCAACCTGTGCTCCACACACTCCTGCCCCAGGAGGAGCTAGCTGCAGCCCAGGGAGCTGAGGCCACTGGACCCCACTGAGGCAGGGCCTGAATGTCTGCCCCGTCCACCCGGGTAGTCAGGTCATGGGACATGATAGCCCCCCTTGGTGCTTGTTCTAAGCATGCCCCCATGGACTTTGCTGGGACACGAGTAGCTGTGGGCGGAACCAGGACACCACAGAGTTAGGGCATCGTGCTAGACATCCCCAGGCTAGAAGCAGGCCTGGCCCTGGTCCCACCGAGCACCTGTGTGTCTTTCTGTCTGGCAGCTGTGATGGTGGTTGTGGCAGCTCACCCTGTGGTCCTGAGAGCTTTCAGACATGTGTCCAAGAATATCTGAAGGACAGTCCAGGAAATGGGATTGCTTTTGGCCTGTCCTGGTCCCTGTGTTTGGATCTGAGTAGCAGACAGGATGGGCTGAGGTCAGGGTGGATACTGGGCTAGGGTGGGGAGGTGTGGGTGTGTGTGTGGGGGTGGTTGGAGTGGGCATAGTCTGGAGGCATCAGACACAAGCAGGCGGCCTGGAGGTGGAGAGCTGGTGATGGACCAAGGCTGACCTGTCAGTCAGCCTAGCATCCCTGCGGGACGCCATAGCGGACAAGACTTCACCCTGTTCTGAAGCACAGAGGTAGACCATGGACACGGGGGAGCACGCCCCCCCCGCCCCCACCCCAGCACTCTCATGCATCCCTGGGGGCTGAGGCTGGGACCCAAGGGGAAGTGGGGAGGAGGGACAGAATGGAAAGGAAGGCAGGGCAGGGCAGCGGGCACAGGCAGCGCAGAAGGCCCAGCACAGCAGAACACACAGCACACAGCAGGCCAGGCTGCATACCGCAGGGCAGCCTCCACCGCCCCTGGCCAGGCCCCTGGAACCTGGCGCCCCTCGCCTGCCTCGGCATTTAAGATTCTCCTGTTTCAGAGACAAAGGCTTAATGACTTGGAGGGAAGTCTTGAGCCAGGGTCTGGGGCTTGGGGCCGGGCCGCCCTGTTCCCCTGCTGTCCCTGATCCTTTTAGTGTGTGCTTGCCTCCCCACTGCTCTTCCTGTTTTTTCCCATTCCTCCTCCAAGCCATCTGGAGGTAGGGATTAGAACCCCTGTTGCATGGATAAGGAGACTAAGGAACAGAGGGCTAACTGACCCATTTGAGGTCAGAAGATTGGACTTTGGGGGTCCCTGGCCCTGCCCCTCTGGAAAGGGATACACAACATGGCTCCTCCCCCCTCCCCACAACCCCGGCAGAGATGGGGGGATGTGAGTAACTGGTGAGTTTCAATATGGAAACTCAGTTTTTTTTCCTGTCTTTTCTGAGTTCCACTGGAAGAGTTTGACATGGAAACCTTCCCTGCCTTCTAGAAGAAGAGGACTGAACTTTGGTTATTTCAGGTATGAGGTCTGGTGGGCCACAAGAAGCTGTGGTAAAAAGGCATGAAAGGAGAAAGGCTGTGAGGGGAAAAGGCTTTGGGACACGCGGAGGCGATGCAAGGGGTGAATGTGCAGCTACCCAGACCAGCACAAGCCTCCTCTGGGACAGGACAGGCCCTCAGAGAGGGAAGGGTGGTTCCATCTCCCTTTAGGTCCAAGGAAGCTGAGTAAAGAGGAGCAGTGACGTGGCAATCAGACTCCATCCCTGACTGGGCTTCCATCTTCTAGACAGGGTGGGTCCCTGGGCCTTGCCCATGGAGGGGTTACGACCAGAGCGAGAGGGATGGTAGAGATTAGAGGGTAGCCCCAGCAGTGTGGACACCCCATAGCAGGGCCCACGGGGCCTCTGGGACTTGCAGCTGAGCTCCGAGGACTGCAAAGACCTGGGTTGGGGCCTCCTATGTCTCACCAACACGTACCACAGGACATGGCTGGTCCAGGCCTGGGGGTCCCGGCTCGCCCTTCTGGCCTTTCATTCCTTTCCGACCCGGGACACCGCGATCCCCCTGGGTAAGAAGGAAGATGAGATGTGATGGTGGCTGCTAGGCCCAGGATGCCTCCAATGTCCCTCAGAGAGATGGGCCTGGGGCCGGCAGCCCCGTGCCCTGCTGCCCACAGACCAGCCTCTCCAGCCTTCCTCTCCCCACCCACCCCCTCCTTCTCTCTGCTGGCTTCCTGCCTCCCCTGTCCTTTCCTTTCCACCTGCTCCCTCCTTCTCTTTGCTTGCCTCCCTCCTTCTCTCTTCCTGCCCCTCACTTTCTCTCCACCTCCCCCACCTTCTCTCCACGCTCACTCCGGTCTCCTTTTTCTCCTCGAGGTCCAGGGAAACCCTGTCAAAAAGATTAAAGGTTAAACCTGATGATGAAGTTTGAAGTGTGCTCTGGTTATCTCTTCATCTCTCTACCTCTCCCACCCACCTCTGCCCCTTCCCTCCACACATATCCATGGTACAAGCTGGACCATCCCTGGCTCCTAGGGGACACAGATGCTGGGTATGAGGATGATGCAGAGAAAAGCCTGGTTTCAGGACACTGGCACGGCTTCCTCCAAAGTAGAACACCACTGCTGTTTCTGGGTGGAAGCCCTCAGGCAGAACTGCTAGCAAAGAGCTGTGTCTTAGGTCAAGTCAGGTGCAGCAGACACTGGCCCAGGCTCGGCTGGGGACTGAGACACAGGAAGCCCATGGAAGTTTATATCACCATCTTCAGCAGGCCAAGAGATGGTGCTCTCTGTTCTCTGCACTTGGCTGAAACTCTTATGCACCCACTTACCCATCCACCCATTTGTTCATCTGTCCCTCTTCCCAGTCAACATTTCTAAGCATCCACTAGGAATTGGGCTTTAGGCTGACTGCTGAGGGCAGAAAACCAGATTTGATGAGTTCCCTCTTAGGCGGCACTAGTGGTAAAGAACCCGTCTGCTAATACAGGAGACATAAGAGACCTGGGTTCGATCCCTGGATTGGGAAGATCCCCTGGGGAAGGGCATGGCAGCCTATTTCAGTATTCTTGCCTAGAGACTCTCATGGACAGAGAAGCCTGGTGGGTTACAGTCCCTGGGGTCGCAAATAGTCGGACATGATTGAAGCAACTTTAGCATGCACACTCTTATATTTATTACGCTGTTTATTTTCTGTATCTTCTGATGTATTGATATCATCAAAATCTTGCTGGCTGGGGAGAGGCTGCCTCTCCTAGAGGTAGCCAACCCTTAGATATAGCAAAGAGCTAGGCAGGGAGCATGCTTTTCAGATGTAAACCAACCAATCCTGGAACAGCCTCCTCTATCTAACTTACATACCAAGTCAATATTTTCCCTGCCCCAAATCATCCCAGGGCCAGGTAGCAAGCAACTAGAGACCACCCTTAGAGCCCAAAGCCTGCCAGGATTATTCAAACAAGCCAATCCTAAACTGTTGACTCTGCTTTGCCTTGCTTTCCCTAGAGAAATGCCAGTAAAATCCCTGCCCTAAGTTTCTCCCCCACTCCTTTCTGCCTGCCAACCAAAACTACTACGTCTCCATGTGGTCCCATGTGGGGCATGCCCTTTCCTTGAGCACTGTAAGCAATAAGCTCTTCTTTCAAAGGCATTTGACCTGTGTCATCACTAAGTCACTTCCATAAGTTAGAACCCCGCAGGTACAAAGGTACAGAGCTTAACATGACAGGCAGTGGGGTGCAGAAGATGATGATCAATACTCAGTGATAGAGATCTGAGCCAGACACCATGGGGTACCAGGAAGAGGGGCTCTTCTGTCCAGGTGTGAGGTCAGGAAAGGCTTCCAAGCAGACTCCCCATTTCAGCTGGGCCCGTTGGAGTGGGTTGACTTTTTACTCTGGCCTCACCATGTGGCATGTGAGATCTTAGTTCCCTGACCAGGGATCAGGATCAAACCCCTGCCGCCTGATTGAAGTATGCAGTTTTAACCACTGGACCACAGTGGCCACAGTATTGGGGGCATAGAGTCCCTTGTCTCCACCACTACTGCCTCTCTGGGTCCACAGCCTGAGCTGGATTCAGTAGTGTCTTCTTCTCCTGGAACATCAATGGAACCCTCCAGTCAGAAACTCAGCCTAGAGTTCTTCCTCTTCCTGTCTGTAGGGTGACACTTTCTCCCTAAAGTTTAGGGTAGGCACCAGAGTCCTTGCAGCCCTACCTGCATCTGGTCACCATTTCCCTTGCAATAGCTTTCTGATTTTCCTGGGAATCGCTCTCCCTTCTCACAATTCACCAACTCTGCCCCCAGATCCCGGATGGAGCATTATGAGCAGGTCTGGCCAGTTAGGGAACCGCATTCTTATGGCCAAGTGACACTTCAGCATTGGCCCAGCTGGGGCTGATGAGCGTTGATGAGATTTTTTCTCAAAGAGTAGAGAGTGAGGCAAATGCCTTTCTCCAGGATTTGGACTTAGAGGGATGCAAGTTTGGAGTCCTTGGCTCCATCTCATCATCAGGTGGAAATTTGAACGATTCAAGAGGAAGAAGAGACAAGAGAGGGTAGAGGTTGGGGTGTGTTGACATACTTGAGCCCTGGATCTATATGTCACACATATGGGTTTTTCAGTTATGAGTTAGTTTAAACCAGTTTAACTTGTGTTTCCCATCTGTTGCAACCAAAAGATTCTTGATCCAATCAACATTGGCTTAATACTTCTCCCCTCCTTCTCACAGTACTGCCATAGGTGAAGCCTTATCATCTCTCACCAGGATATTGCAACATGCTCCTCATTGCTCTTCCTACCTCCCTACTCCAATGGATCCACTCTCCATCCTCGATCATCCTCCATCTGTCATCTGTCCAGCTATCACCCATCCATCCACCATCCATCATCCATCATTCGCTTACATCCATCACTCATTTACATACCATCCACCCATCCTTCCTCTACCCATCCCTCCACCCACCCATCCTCCCTACTCTATCCATCATCCACCATCCACTCAACCACCCATCCATCCATCAAGAAGGCACCTACTCTGGGCTATGTGTTGGATTTGGCACTGTGGACATGGGTGGAACCAGTCAGTTGTAGTCCCAGCCATGGGGAATGGGGACACATCCAAGCCATCCAGATCAAGTTTCTGTATGGGCAGCATGAGGGCAAAAGTTACACATGGGAGAGACCCAGCCACAGTGGATGGTGAGCTACTTACATCTAGTCCTGGCTCCCCGGGTCTGCCCTGAGAAGAGACAAAGAGGAGATGTGAGGAGGCTGAGAAGGAGGTGTTGGGAACACAATTCACAGCCCTGTGAACTGTCCACAGAACCTGAACTCTGGCCTCAGGGACCAGTGAAGCACAGGGGTTGAGCCCCCAGGACTGAGTGATACCATAGTTGGGGGGCATTAAAGGAAGGTGGTTACCTTCTCTCCTTTGGTTCCTGGCAGCCCAATAAGGCCTGGTGGGCCAGCTGGCCCCTGGGTGGAAAAGGAATGTGTCAAGAGTCATAATTGTTACAGAAATTAGCCCCTCTAAGGATGATCAAGGCTCATGACACTCACAGGCAGGCCGCTGGGTCCTCTCTCACCCGACGAGCCCTTCTCTCCCTTTGCTCCATCCAAGCCCTGGAAGCAAAGGGGAAATACCAGTTAAGGGGGCCAGAGAGATGGCAGAACAGGAAAGTCTGGGGCCTGACTGGGAGGTGAGGTGTGCAGGGCAGAGGGACAGACTCCAGGCTCTGACAGGCCTAGCTCTGACTTCCTTCTTGTGCAAATACCAGAATGCGGGTGTGCATGTTTTATCTTTTCTTACACATGGGCTTTTTCAGTAATCCTGGATGGTGGGTTATGGTCACACCCATTTCACAGATGAGGGAAGAGAGGTACAGAGACGGGCAGGGACAGGCCCACTTGCACAGGCAGGAAGTGGCAGGGCTGAGCAGCCACTGGGTTTCTGAGTCCCTGTCTTGGACCTCATCCCTGACAGCAGCTGTTTATTCTAAACATGATCTGGGGAGGCCTCGGAATAAAACAGAACCAGAAGCTGCACATCTGCTAAAGCTACATGCTCGGCCCTACTCAGCTCTGCGATTTCATGACTCTGAGGCCCCGCTTGGCCTCTGAGCTGGGGGTACGGAGATGTGGTCTCCCCCAGGGTAAATGAGGGAGATGCAGTGAGGCCAGCTGGCCTCCCTGGGTGAGGGGACACGGGCAGACCACACTCACAGTTTTAATTGGAGAGCAGAGGACACGACGTTATGTAATATACACTGAAGCCAGGACTTTGTATCCAGGCTGTGGGGTGGTACTTGAGGGGTGAAGAGGGGAGGGGGCAGGGAATGGAGAGGCTGAGTGTGGGCTGGGGAGCACCAGCTCTGAGGACACTGGCAGGGGCTTGGGAATGGCCAGGCCATGGGAAGACGCGGGGCTGGTCCAGGGCCAAGTATGGAGCCCTCACTTTGCCTACAAGCAAGAATTTGGGGAACCAGCCAGGCTGTGAGCCTGCAGTAAGCAGGGGGCGGGGCTCTCATCCATGCTTCAGAACTCACCTTGGGACCCTGCATCCCCTGAAGGCCCTGGAGGAGGACAAGAAAGCCCCAGATTAGAAACACCATCAGGCTGGGTCCAGACCTCCCGGCCAGGCCCTCTTGCAGCAGCCACAGAGGCTTCCAGGCCACTCACTGGCCCTGTGGCCCTGAACTCTGGCCTCCCAAGCCCAGAACTGGACTCTGCTCGGCTTGCCTTGATGTGTCTCCTCCCCCCTGGGGTATCCTGTTGTCCTCTGGGCCTAAGCCTGCCACCCTCTCCACATCCCAGCTGCTTCAAGCCAAACTTTCTTACCATGGGGCCTGGGGGACCAGGAGGGCCTGGGGGCCCTGGTTCTGCTATGATCTGGGCCTAGGAAGGGTCAGAGGTGGATTAGTTGCCCATTGCCCCACCACCCCTCACTTACCCACACTTGAGCTCATCGGACATTGGAGGAGCACTCCCTGGGTGCTTGGCCCTGAGCTCCACACTGCCCCCAAGAGGCACCATGGTGGGAGGCCCAGTGCTGGCCTTGGGTCCAAAGATGGGCCTGAGGCTCCCCCTCCCACTCCCCCACTGCCCTGAGCTTGGTCAGGCCTGGTGGCCCTATGACCCAAGGCTCAGGGCCCCAGCCAGCCCTCAGCAGAGACCTTCAGCCCCCTTACCAGGCAGCCCCCTTACCAGGCTCTCCTGTAGCTTGTCAGATGCCGACTCTCCCTTCTCTCCCTTGGGGCCGTTGGCACCCTGCAGGAGAGGATGGCCTTGAGCTCTTTCTGTCTATCACCAAAATTGCCACCCATGGGGCTCAGCACCTCCCCTTCCTTCCTCCATCAAGCAGTGCATCGTCAGGAGCTTTCCCTAAATCAGTGGGTATTCAGAGAGCATCTTAACAGCAGTGTAAGTTGTTTCCTGTGGGGCAGCCAGGCGCTCTAGGAGCAAAGACCCGGGGTTCAAATCCTGGCACCAGCTCTCTAGCCGAGTGAGCCTCGTGGGTGGACAATGGACGTGATGTGGTGGCAGCTGTTCGCATCTGGCCACGCATGACAAAAGCAATGATAAAAATGATGATGACAGTGGGTCGCTATTCCCAGCCCTGGCTGTGTGTCCCTTTGTGGGAGGGGGAGGGTATCACTCCCATTTTAGAGCTGAGGAAACTGAGGCCCAGGGAGGTTAGGTCACTTGTGCTGGGTTCCAGAGTCAGTGAGATGGAGCAGGATGCAAACTTGGGCTGTCAGAGCTCCCCGTCTAGTCATCTGCCATTAAGCGGGGCCTCCTTATTTCACCTTAAGGAGGCCTCTCGATGTAAGTGGTAGGTCTGTCTGCAGGGGAGGAACTGGGGGCTCAGAGTCAGGGCATCCCAGCGCTTCCCTTCAAAGGCCCAGTGGGCTGGGGCTGAGACTGGGCTAAGACTAGAACCGCAGAGTCCCAGACCCTGGCAGCCACCATGGTGGGCATGCATTCACCTTGGGACCCTCACATCGGGCAAGTAGCAGGGGGGATTACCCAGCTACCTTACCGGGAGGCCTGACAAGCCCATCTCTCCTGCTTCCCCTTTGGGTCCTGCTGGTCCAGCTTCTCCTGGGTCTCCTTTCTGTCCTTTGGGACCCTGAAAATCACAGAACAAGATACAGTAGGCACTTTCCCTTCCCCCATGCAGAGCTTATTCTAAGCCAGGCCAGACCCTCCCTTCTTCCTTGTGGGTCGTCTCCTGCAGACCAAGTGATGGATGAACAGAGGGGCCTGGCTGGCAACACAGAAGGGGCAGTCCCCGCCTGTCTTACTGCAAGCAGGGCTGCAGGGTGGGGTAGGGGGCAGAGGGGGTGGAGCAAGTGGGACTGGGTAGCTATTAACGGGGTGAATATGGGGTCAGGGCCAACCCTGTGCTCACATCTCAGGAGCCAATGGTGAGAGCCCCCAACCCCATATACAACCAACCACCCCTCAGTCACCCACCCAGCTGCTGCTGCTGCTGCACTCCTTCATCCAACTGATTGTATAATGTCCACTCTATGCCACACACCAGGGACCCAACGCTAAAGGCACATCCACGAATGGTAAGTGACACCCATGGACACTGTCCCGTCTTCGCAGGATCTTACACATGCGTGTATACTTACACTAATACTGATAATGACAGTGAGATGATTCTTTGCTACTACATGCCAGGCACTACTCTCGAGTGTGTTCCGCGTGCCGTTATTTAACCCTCAGCCCTTTAACCGTCTTCAGGAACTGAGGGACCAAGGAACTGAGGCTGCCAGAAAGCGAGTAGCTTGCCTGAGGTCTATGGGCAGAACTGGGATTTGCACACAGACTCCAGAGCAAATGTCCTGTTTTCTAGAACTCTGCACGCAAGCGTGCACACACACACACACACACACACACACACACTCAGCAACACAGCATCAGGCACAGCATCACCAAGGAAATGAAAGGCCCAGAGACCTTCTCTCCGTCGATTCCAGGAGCACCAGGCAATCCGAGTTCTCCCTGGAAGGGAATAGACAGCAAGGTGGGGGTTATGGTGCCCCGGCACCTGGCAGGGATTTGTGGCCAGGCTGCCTCCTCTGACCAGCACACTGGCCCTGGGTTGGGTCCCTGAGGTTGGACCTTCAGGAAGAAGCTCACTGCATGCCTAGCACAGTGCCAGGCACAAGCCACCCCCTTCTCCATTTCCTCAGTCCCTATGGGCAGGTGTGGCCATGGCTGTGGTAGGTAGAAGCCAAGGGTCCAGGCCACATAGCCCAGGGATGATGGCCGGGACCAGATCCTGCCTGATTTTAAAGTCGGGCTCCTTCTCCTGAGCCAAGTGGGCAGGTGTGAACGATACACACAGGCCATAGGAACGGCTCTGTAACCTACAGGACTTTGTAACATCACAGGGGGCCCATTTATGGATTATATGTGTGAATGAGGCATTGCAGGGAGAAGCCAGGGCCAGGAAGAAGGCACCCTGCTTGGTTAGGAAGGAGCAGGGCCACTTCCTCTGAGCCCTAGAGGCCAGGCCAAGGTGCTAGGAGAGAGGCAGAGGCAGAGAGGAGACCCTGGAGGCGGGGCCTGGAGACAGAGACCTGGGGGGACCACACAGTTACATCTGCACTGACCTTGGCTCCGGGGATCCCTGGTGGCCCTGGGGGCCCCTGTGGCCCAGGAGGACCCTGTGTGTGAAAGTCAAGGGGTCAGTGTTTAGGAGGGGCCTCCCCATCACTGCCCACCCATCTCTCCATCCTGAGGCCCCAGATCATATAGCCCCCTTCCCACCTAGTCAGGTCAGGCCTGTGTCTTGCGGGAGGCCCGGCAGATGGCACCAGGTATCGGGTAAGACAGCACAGTGTCTACCCTTCTGCCCTCAGTATACATTTCATCACAATACACTCCTTCTTAATCCCATGATAGCTCTGCACTGCCTCTAGAAGCAAATGTAAATCCAACCCCTGCTGGCACTCAAAGCCAGCCCCAAATCATATCCCCAGCAGAGACCCAGCACTGTGCTCTCTGCCTCTCCTGTGAACTCTGGTGCTGTGCGCTGCTCCTAGGCATCCCTTGGTTTCATGGGGAGGGGACCGTATCCTCACTCCCGAGCTCCCGCCCCTGTCCAGGCTTCCCTCAGGCCACCTGCCCACCACCACCCCCCACTCCTCCATGTCCCTTCACAAAGGCTGCTGTCACCAGCTCACAGTTCAGCAAGCCCCAGGCCTCTTCCCTTTACCTCCTCTCACCTACCTACCCCCTCCTTTTTAAAAATTGAAGTATAGTTGATATACAGTACTATATATGACATACAATATTATATAATATAATCACTATAATATAGTGCTTCAAATCACTGTCCAAGGTTATACTCATTTATAGTTATTATAAAATATTGGTTATATTCCCTGTGTTGTTCAACATATCCTCGTAGCTTATTTTATACATAATAGTTTCTGCCTCTTAATCCCTTCCTCCATCACCCCTTCCCCCTTCCCTCTCCCCACTGGTCATCACTACTTTGTTCTCCATATCTGTGCATCTGCTTATTTTTTTTTGTTATATTCACTAGTTTGTTGTATTTTTTTAGATTTCACATATAAGTGATATCATATAGTATTTGTCTTTGTCTGATTTATTTCACTTAGTACAATACTCTCTAAATCCACCCATATTGCTGCAAATGGCAATTTTTTTTTAATGGCTGAGTAGTATTCCTCTGTGTGTGTGTGTGTGTGTGTGTGTGTACACATCTTTATCCATTCATCTGTTGATGGACACTAAGGTTGTTCCGTAACTTGCAACCTGCCCCTTACTGTCGGTGCCTCCATTGAGATGCCCTGGTCTTACTCCTTCCTCCATTCCACCCACCCTCCTCCAGATTCAGGCCCAGCACCTGCTTTCCTGGTGGCCTCTCTGCCTCCAGTGACTCCCACCTTCCGCACCATTCCCCAGCTAGCCTGGCCCTCAGTATGTTTTTCGACTTCACCCCTCTATGTCTGCCCAATGAATCCAGTCGTCCTCTCCGTCTGGCATCCACAATCCACCTCCCCCTTCTCTGCACTCAGGGCTTCTCCTTGCGGCTCTGGCACAACCACGCCCAGGCACACCCGTGCAGGCCCAGGGTGGGTACCACTACCATCAGCCTGTGCGCCCCTGAGGCCTGTGGGAGATAACTGAAATCGAAGCCCAGGTGGGACTCGGTGCTGACCCCCAGTCTTTGAGGACCACCTCCCCCCACCCCAGCTCCTCTCCCTGGTACCTCTGAGCAGCTGGCCCCCAACCCTTCTCTCCAACTGGTGATGGGTCCCAGGTTTGCCTCGCACTGGGACAGGGCTGAGGCCACACAACTTCCGAGTCTCCTGGAGCAGGCCTTGCCACACTCTTCTTTCTCACCCAGTGGTTGTTAGGAGATCCAGCCTTCCAGCCTCTGGTTTCTAGAAAGGCCCCGAGAGGCCCTGCCTCTTGCTTCTGAAGGGCGAGCTGCCCTTTTTTGCCTCGGCCTCTGAGGAGCTCAGGGCCGCATGGGCCCATTTACAGCAGCTCTCTCAGCATCGTGTGGGATTCCACATAGTACTGACTTCCACATTAGGTAGCTGGTGACGTTACCTAATATGTGTTAAGTCTCTGTGTTAAGCTACCCCTGGTCCCTTGTGTAAAAAATTGTGCAAAGTGAGTGGATATTCCCCCAGGAAAGGAACGCTAGGGGTCCACCAGGAATGCTACCTTAAGCGCGTCCAAGATCCTGCCATCATAGTCAATTACCACTGTGTCTCCTTGTTCACCCTTGAGGCCTGGGGGACCCTGAGGCAGGAAGAAGAGGAAGAATTTCAGGGATGGTGGGCATTTTTGTTTCACCCCGAGAACCTAGTAACTGGGGCTGCATACAGGCCTGTGAACTGTGGGCCAGGTCTCAGCTGGACCCTGGGCAGCCCCCAGCATGGTGTCTTCTCGAATTCTCTTAGGAAGTGGCACCCTGGCTCACTGAGTGAGCATTCTGGGGGCCAGGCAGGGGGTTACATGAGGGAGAGGGGAGGCCTGGGGCCAGCTGAGGAACACACCTCCACCAGGTCTGGAGGTGGCTGTGATTCACCTTCGCGTGAGAACTGAAGCCCACTGAGGCTCGTCCTTGAGAGAAAACGGAGAGCCTGACTTTGATGTGAAGTTCTTCAGATTTTTAAATGTTGGCAAACAAAAACACCCAAACCCTCCCAAACACTGTGCAGGCCAACTAGAGACCTGCCAGCTGGAGGCTGCCCTCGTACCTGTTTCTTAACCTCGGGGGGAGGCTGCACGCATGCGGCGCTGACACTCCCATTCACTCCCGGTTCTGAGTCCACACCCACCCACGTGCATGTCCACACGTACGTGTCTGCACACGCACTTGTCGACACAGGCACAGACGTGTGCCCTGCTGTGGGCCTCACCTTTCCCCTCTGAACCTCCCCTCCCCCCAGACTCTTCTCTGCTAGAGCAGCAGGGGACGTGAGCACTCTGGTCAGGCTTGAGGCCGGCTGCACCGGAGAAGAGACCTGGCCAGGGCCTCATTTGCCAGCTGCCTCCATGGTCATGGCCTTTATGGAACCACGAGGTGCACACTGAACTGCCACACTCAGTGCTTAATCCAATTCCCCGGCCATCTGCTCCACCAGGCTGCCAGCTTAGACCTTTGTCTTGGAGGAGGGAGGCAGCCTGTGGGAGCGCGAGGGGGATGTGATTGCTCGAGATCACAGGGCCAAGAACAAGGTGTGCTGATAGGGGGCTCATCATGAAAGATCTGGGACCAGTTGTGGTGGCTGTGCTCCAGCGACAGGGGTGAATTGTGAAGTGGGGCTGGGGGAAAGGCAAGGCCCCCATGTAGGTCATGTAGGATAACGCCATCCATGACATATTGAAGTCTATGTTGAATGCGCCAAGGAAAAGAGTCTTGGCCTGGGGAGGAGGAGAAGAGGGAGGAGGATGGGACTCTTCTTTTCATATCCACAATTGAACATTTTACCCAAAGCATGTATTAAGGATTAAACAGCAAACAAACAAACAAACAAAAAAACCCCAAGCCAATCCACTAATGAAATATTAGTATTTAAAAAAAAAAAGACTCCAAGTTCTTGGAGCACCACTGCTGCTCTGGGGTATCTGGGGACGGGGACTTCGGAAGGAATCAGGTCCCTGGATCTCACTGGTGTGGCCGGGGCGGGGGGACTGCTTACCCGCTGCCCCGTAGCTCCATCAGTGCCTGGGTGGCCGGGCTCCCCCTGTGGAGACACGTGGCTACAGCCAGGTGTGTATGGCTGAAGCCAAAAGTTCCCCTGCCCCCGCCAGTCCCCTCTTCCCCAAAGAGCACAGGGCTGAATGGCTGTGACTAGCATCTCCCAAGTTGAGGGAGGAACTGTGGGACCCTCCTCTGACCCCTTGTTGTGTAGACAAGATGGGCCACTGAGGCCCAGGGGCCCAACGCTACACGGTGAAGGCCTTGTCACTACTTGAGACCACATGCCACCTGACTCCAGGCCAGCCTCTGATTGCCAGGGCCCAGACCCTTGGGCCAAGGGACCTTCTGGACTCCCAGCTTAAAAGGGCAGATTGGAGGTGAAACCAGTCTCCCCCGGGATGGGCCTTCGGGAGCCAGAGCAGCTCACATGATGTCACCTTGGGCCCCAGGGCTCTGTCTGTGCCTTTCTCTACCTGAGGACCCCCTTGCTCCCTGACTGGCCCTGCAACAGAGGCGTCTGCTGTGGAGCTTCCAGGCTCTGCGGGCTTCCAGAGGAGGTCCTGAGAACCTGCCCGAGCCCACCCTGGGGTGGGGGTGGTGAGTTCAGTACAGCCTCAAGACTCAGGCCCCAGGCCCCCTTCTGGTTTGGCTGGAGGAGCTCAGGGGCTCAGTCAGGTTAGAGGAAGCCTGGCCAGGATTTGGCTGTTGTCTTAAGGGGATGAGGGACCAGGGAACACAGCCAGTTCCTGGCTTGGGGGAAGGGCAGAGTGGGGCCACTTGAGATGGGAGCCAGAGGACTTGAGGGCATAAGGGGAGGTCAGTGGTCTGGATGATTTGCCAGGCCTGTTGGTGAGTGGGACCCTGGCCTTCCTGCTGGCCTCCCTCTGGCCTGCCCTGGTCATCAGCCCATGTGCCTGTGATGTAAAAAGGTTGGGTAGGCGCTTCACCAGGCAGGTGGGAACTGGGGAGATGGGAGGCAGGGGGACCACTGGAGGAGGGATGTGTACCTACCTTGGGCCCTGGGGGTCCAGAGAGCCCTGGTTGGCCTGGTATCCCGTCATCCCCCTGAAGAGAGAACAGTGGAGGCTGCAGCCTTCAGACTTGGATGCATTGGCTGGGTCCTCTGGCAGTCAGCTGGCCATCCCCCCTCTGCACTTCCTAGCACACCAGTCCACTCCTGGTAGTGGCACTGATCACACTGGGTCAGCAGGGCAGTGCTCCCTCCCCTCCTTGTCCATCTAGGGCATGGGTGGGGTAAGACCCACTTCTGTCTCCTGTCCCCAACAAGCTGAGTAGGTGTGTGCGAAAGGAATGGATCGGCTGAAGGAGAGGTAATTCATTCCCTCAGTCTGAGCACCCTCTGCGGGCCAGGCAGACAAGATCCCTGCTCAGTGGGTCAGAGGAGACCAAGGGCCAGGAAATATCCAGGTAAATTCATAGCCTTATGTTGGGTAGTGGATGTGCCAGAAAGATGTGCCAAAAGACGGAATGGCGGGATAGAGAGGGACTCAGGGAGAGTATGGGCTTCAGTAGATGGCTGGGGATGGCCCTTCTGAGGAGGGCACAGCTTTGTTAACAGTAGGAGGAGGAGGCCCGTCCATGGGAAACAATGGAGGAAGATCAATCTGGGTCAGTGGTTCCCCGAGTGCACGTTAGCACCTGAGGGAATGTCTCTGACTCAGTGCCTTTGGGCCCCAAACACGTGGGTCTAATGAGGCCCAATGATGCTGATGATACTGCTGGTCCAGGGATCACACTTTGAGAACCAATTTGTGGTGGGAACGAATGATGTGCCTGAGTAATTCTATGTGTTTGATGTATTTCTCTAAGAATGAGTGAATGAATGAATGAAAGAATGAATGTGATCCTGGCTTCTGAGACAGGTAAGAGCAGCCACCCACAGTGAGGACTTGGGTTTAGACCCGCTGTGCCCAGCCCCTGCTTTTATCTCCAGCCACTTCCCACATCCCTGCCAAGACTGGCCCACCACAGCTGCCCCATCTTCTTCCCAGAAACACTGGGCTCACCCTGGGCAGAGCCACCTGGACACGAGGCTCCGCCTCCTCTGTTAGAAGAGGCTCTGATGACCTCCACCCAGCATAGCCCATAGACCCTGAGCTCCTCAGAGAGATTCGCATGGGTGATGGGGCGGATAGTCCTGGACTCCACTCTGACCCTGACCTGGTCCTTCCCAAGCTGAGTGATCCTGGGCAAGTCACTGCTCATGGAGGCTATGATGCCCCCAGTCTCAGAAGGTGGTTGGGAGATTAGAGGGAATGCATTGAAGGCCCTCGGCTCCCAGAAGATGCTCACTAAAGATAGCTCCTTCCCCCCACTTTCTCTCCTGCCCAGTCCAGGGGCCCTGGCTCCTGGAGGAGAACAATAGCCTGCCTTCCACACTGGCAGGTGCTGCTCAAGGAAGGAAGAAAAGAGAGCTGACAAGCTAATGGGTTTTATTATTCAATCCTCACAACCTGCTGTGAAGGTAAGGTAGGAAAAATCTATCATAACCTCATTTGACAGGGCAGTAACCTGAGGCCCAGAGAGGAGATGAAGTCACTTGTTCAAGGTTATAGAACTTGGTCTTCTAACCCTGCTGCTTTGGTTTCATTGGGGGAGGAGGAGGAGAAAGTGGTGGGGTGAAGGAGCCCCCTATGCCGAGGCCTGAGACAGGAGTGAGAGGCACTCACCTTGGGCCCTGGGGGTCCACTTGGGCCCTGGAACAAGAGAAGAAGGAGTGTTAGACATCATCCCAGAGGCTGCACCTGGGCTGTCTTCCTTAACATCCTTGTTTTATAAAGGGTGACATCAAGTCCCAGAGGGTGGCAGAGCTGTCTCTGGAACCCAGCTGAGCCACCTGTTTGTATCTTGGACAGAAATCTGCATTAGATCCCAAGCCGTGATGAGTGGACTGCAGGCTCTCTCCCAGGGGTGTGGGGTTGTGAGAATTTTGCTGGGGTTGGGGTCCTGGCCCATCTGCTCCCCAATGGCAGGGGGGGCAAGAGCCCAGGTATGCACGCTGGGCTGCATGCCCAGTACCGCTGTGGGTGTGCAGGGGAGAGGAGCTTCCGGGCCTTGAACCACGGTCCTGCCTGCCCAGGCCTCTGAAATGCCCTGGATACTGACCATTGCACCATCTTGTCCAGCTTCTCCTTTGGGACCCTGAGGAGGCATAAGAGAAGAGCACTGAGGTGGGGTGGGGTGGGGGTGTCACAGTTGCCTGAGCTTGTATCTCCTGCCAGACCCTGGGCTGGGGCTGCAAGTACATTCTCTCATGCAAGTACATTTTTGTCCTCATCAAACCTCTGAAAAGTGGGTGTCACTGTCCTCACTTCACAGATGAGAAAACTGAGGCTCAGGGAGTTATGTGCCCAGCATGACAAGGAATCGGTGAGCCCGTTGAGTAATTGCCCTGATAGGGAACGCTGGAGGCAGTCTAGGGGAGGTGCCAGCTCTGCACTGGAGGGGAAGCATGGTCCAACCTGAGCCCCTGGGGGAAGGAGAGGGGGCGGTACAATGGGGTCTGACCCCGCTGTTTGGGTTAGGACTAAGGGAGGACAACAGTGGCTTCATACTAGGGAGAAAGACAGAGAGAGAGATGGAAAGAAAAGAGAGAGAGAGAGGGAGAAGAGGCTGGTAGAGAGCTGCAGAGACAGGGTCTCAGGGTCAGGACTGGGACTGAGATTATAACCAAGGTCAGAATCTATGTGCAGTTAGAGAATGGGGTTAAGAGTTGGGTCAGAGTCTGCAGGCTTGAGTTAGGGTTTAGATAACAGTCTGAACTGGGGGTGTGGATCTGGATTTGGAAATGAGTTTGGGGTCAGACCTGGGTTTGATTCCTGGGTTGGGAAGATCTCCTGGAGAAGGAAATGGCAACCCACTCCAGTATTCTTGGCTGGGAAATCCCATGGACAGAGGAGAGGAGCCTGGTGGGCTACAGTCCACGGGGTCACAAAATATCTGACATGACTGAGGGACTAACACTTTCTCTTTCACTTGGGATCAAGGCCTACATTGGGGTCAAGGACCTGGCTTGTGTTAGATTAAGGTGTGATTGGAGTAGGAGTCTGGGCTGGGACTGGGGCTGGGGACAGGATAGGGGGATTGGTTCTGGGATCAGGGTTGGGAGGTTTGGTAACCACATCCCGTGTGGCCCAGCTCCACGCTTGATCTTACCACTGGGCCTGGTGCTCCCCTGGGGCCATCTTTCCCAGTGTCACCAGGAGGGCCCCGGGCCCCAGGGGGTCCTGGGGGCCCTGGAGGCCCAGCAGCTCCATCTTGCCCAGGATCTCCCTGAAAGAGATGGGGCCAGCATGACTCTGAGGGTGGGCGGAGGGAGTTCTGGCCTCCAGAGAGAGGAGAGAGAGAGGCCTCCTCATAGGGGTGGCCAGATGCCTTCGCCTTCCCAGCCTGTGGCCAGCTTGGAGGAAAGGGCCTTGTTACTGGGCCTCTTGCTACTTCTTGGTATACAAAGGGACGGGACAGGTCCCTTGGTATATAAAGGGACATGACCTACACCTCTGCATAAGAGGCCAATAGGATCTCATACCCTCCACGGTATGCATCATTGCTCCAGCTGTCAGTGCCTGAAGCCCAGCTACGGAGTTTAGGTGAGAGATGAGACATATTAGGTGTGGGACAAAACACATGTGCCCAAACAGCTCCCTTCCTCTTGGAAGGGAGGGGACTGTTTGCCTCCTGAAAGACCTTCCTGGTCGCTCAGCTCCTGCTTTATTAAGTGCTAGAGGCACACTCTCGGGCATTGGTCCCAGAGAAACACTGAAAATATTGAAAATTAGAAACATGTCCACACAAAAACCCATACGTGAACATTCACGGCAGCTTTATTCACAATAGCGCCTCACGAGAAACAATCCAGATGTCCTTCAATGGTGAATGGTTAACCAACTGGGGTCCATCCATATCACAGAACACTGCTCAGCAATAAATAAAAAGAACCAGAGCACTGACACACGCAACAGCATGGATGCGTCTCAGGAGATTCATGCGGAGTGAAAAAAGCCAGTCTCAAAGATGGCTACTAGATGACTGCATCTACTCGAGACTCTTGGAATGCAAATTTATGGAGATGGAGCACCATCAGCAGTTGCCAGGGGTTAGGGATGGGGGCTGGAAAGGAGATAACTATAGCTATAAATGGAGAGCAGGAAGGCTTTTTGTGTGGTCATTGCACAAATCTCAAGAGTGATAAAACTGCATGGAAATACACAGATGCACAAATAAGTAAAATGGGTGAAATTGGAATAAGGTTGGTGTATTATATCAATGTCAGTTTCCTGGTCGTGGGATTGTACTATAGCAATGTAAGATGTCACCATTGAGGGAAACTGGATGATGGGTACAGGGGGTATTATTTATTACAACTGAATGTGAATCTATAATTATCTTAAAAAAACAAAAAAGCGACAAAGGGCCACACCGTCTCTCACTTGCAGCACCCAATCTCTGACTCTCGGCTGTGTTAGTAACGGGTTAGACCTCAGGCAGCCAGAGCCCTCACCTTGTGGCAGGTCCCCGCGAGGAGAGACTGCAGAGCCCCTGGCACTTCCTGCCGCTCTTGGGGGCGCCTGCCCAGTACTGGCTCAGGGCACAGTAATGGGGCATCCCGGGCTCACAGTGCCAACAACTCCCAACCCACCTCTTGCCAAGAAAGGAAGAAGGCTTTTGTAGATCGGGCCCCTGCTGCGTGTCCAGCGCCGAGGGGTGAGGTTGTCTCACCCAGCCCTGTGACCACCTGGCCAGGGCACTGCTACTTTTTTAACAGATGAAGAAGCCAGGGGTTAGAGAGTGTAATAATTTACTCAGGATTACAGAGTTAGGAAAGGCAGTGTCTCTTCTGGCCACTGAGGCGAGAATCTCTTTTAGACAGTTTTTTTCAATCTGTGGACCCCACGATATGAGAAAACTTGCCTCTCTAGACCAGAGCACATATGACATAGCTCACTTGTCTTCCCAATTAAAAAATTAACTGAAGTTCTCAGTGTCCACCACACAGATCTTCTGACCAGTCTGACTTAGCCAGGGTCCTCACCAAGAGAATAGAACTCCAGCCAAAAGACAACAGAGTTTGGAAATGTTACCCTATCAGAGGGGCAGTGGTGGTGGGTGATTCCTGTCTCATTTTACCCTGTGTTAGGGATCAGCTGCTAAACAATTCAAAGGCTCAGGGTGGAACCATTGATCTGGACTCTCCTTATCAAGGCAGAAAATGAATGTCAACACTCGAGCATGTTCTAGAGGGCGTTTACCTTCTGAGGTACTTGGAATGAGGCTGGACACCCTTCTCCCCCCAGGATCGGATGGCTGAGGTCTCCCCCTAGGAAGGCGGGATGAGTTGAGGGGAGCGTGCACATCAGCAGCCCAGACTCGGCCAGTCTACCTTGAGGATGCGGCGACCGTACACATGATGGTCTCTACTTATAAAGTCCGGACTGAGCCTCGGGAAGACCATCTAGTCAGCAAACAGGTGTTTGATGAGAAAGGCAGGAGGGTGATTTGGAAACCACCAGGCTATTTCTGGAGGCAAAACCACTTAACCCAGCCTGGAGAGAGGAAGGGCATTGGAAGTGACGGTCCACAGTGAGAGGGTAACAGGCAGGAAGGCCAGGGGTCTCCAAATGGAGGAAATAGGCTGCAAGTGTTGGACATTTTTTATCTTTCTTTTAAGCATCAGGAGGAAATAAACAAGTGTCAGATTTTTTTCCTTCTCTATACAAATTTAAAAAGAGGTTTCTCTTAAAATTTTGTGTTGCCATGATGATAGCTGGCTCCACCTGAACTTAACTTTTCTCAAACCTTGAGCTAACCGAGGTGTTTTTCTAATGGACGTTTGTCTTCAGCTGTGTTAATGAACTATGTATTTACCTTAGACTCTGTCTTTCTTCAAGTTGGTTCTGCTTAAGACTCAGAACCAATAAGGGCTCAACAAACCTGTTTTACTCATACATTGTTCTAATCTATGTTAATGAAACTATATATTTACTTGGAAACTTCCCTTTCTTCAAGATTCATGTCAATCGTTTTATGGTCTGGGTTTTATGACTCACCTGGTGCCAATGTTATCTCAAAATGCATGTTGTAGGTGAGGGGCCTGGTGCCACTCTGAGTTTTGAGACATCTCCTTTCTCTAATTAACAGCTTGCTGATAGGTATGTAACATACTGCTAAAGGCTAGCAGGGGGCACTCTTTCTGCCCCCTTCTGATGTCTATGTCAGAAGTTTTCTCTATCACTTTTATAGTTTAATAAAACTTTATTACACAAAAGCTCTGAGTGATCAAGCCCGTTCACTGGCCCCCAGTTGAATTCTTCTCCTTCAGAGGCCAAGAACCCCTGCATCTTTCGTGGTTCAGCAACAACCTTTCAACAGTCTCCAAAGAGGGCTGCTATGCTTGATCCATCCCTCGGGTTCTTCTGCAAAGGGACCTCGCCCTCCCCTAAGAGCTGGAGTCCATTTCTTCACCCTCTGGACTTGGATGGGTCCTGTGACTTCTGTGACCAACAGAATGCTGTGGACACGATGCTGTGTCCCTTCTGGAGGTGGCTCTTAACTGGCCTCCTGCCTCTTGGAATGCTACTCTTGGGACAGCCCTTCTCCCACCAGGCTGGGAGAGGCCTGAGCCACACAGAGATCCATGAGCGGGCATCTCCGGCTGAGTTCCCCACCAATAGCCACATGAATTGCCAAGACATGTTTTGTGGAGTCCATGGAGCCCATCCAGCGGGAGTCCTCACTCTGCTTCAGACTCTATTGAGGAGACCCCTGGTTTGGCAGGAGGCACTTCTGGGTACCCGGGCCCAGGGGGCATGGAGGGCTAGAGGAGACTCTGACCTACTGTTCCCACTCAGCTGAGTATCCACTTTCCTGATTGCCATGAACCTTCATTTCAGGGGCTTGGGATATAGGACGTCAACCCCACTCACAGTGGGAGAAACTGAGTCTCAGAGGAGGAGGTGATTCACTCCACGTCACTCGGCTGGTAAGCGACAGAATTGAACTCTGGGCTCAGGGCATCTGGCTCCAACCATAGCCTTCCCTCTTCCTGGGCGCAGGCTGCTCTCAGGAAGATCAATCTCTAGTCTTGGCCCGGTGCCAGCCCCACTTTCTGCCTACCTATGGTGATAAGGGTGACCAGGATGTCTGCTTGTCTGTGCAGAGAATGGAAGCTTTGGCCAAATCAAGGTGCTTCGGGCTTCCACCCGATGGCTGCTTAAGTAAAAACAGGCAGCAAGATAGACCACGGGTGGGGAGGGGGCTGTCACTCACTTCTTTCTGTGATAAGCACAGGGACCCAGAAGAAACACTTATTATGATATAAAACAAACCATGTGGGGCCGGGGGAGGGTCTTGCTTGGTTCTTACCTGGGGGCCAAAGTCTCCTGGTGCACCCTAGGAACAAAAAACAGGGTGATACATCACCACTACTTCTATTACTTTTACACAAGTGTGGAGCGTCTGCTCTATGCTCAGTGATTCACATGCATGGTCTCACTCCAATTCCAACAAATATAACGGACAGGCTCTATGTTATCTCCATTTCCATTGAGGAAACTGAGGCACAGAAAGGCTAAGTAACTTGCCCAAGGTCACACAGCTAGCAGAGCCAGGGCTTGGAGTGAGGCGGTCCCCTATCTATTGCCAGCCTCCAGACACAGCGGAATAGAACCCTCGAACTTCCAAATAATGACGGATGATAACTGATTCACCGCTTGAAGTCACCAAGCTTTGGAGCAGTGTGCTATGTAGCAGTAGATGCCAAGACAACAATTTCTCTCTGGTTTCAAGAGAGAGGTCTCCCTGCCTTCCTCATTTCTATGACTCAGTGGCATTAGCCAGAGTTGGCATGAAGGCAACCACTCCACCTGCCAGCTGGTGCCTATTCTTTGTTCATCTTCAAAGAACACTTATTCCGTTACCTTGCACAGTCTTCTCCATGAGAAATTGGTTTTAATTTACAGATGGAGTAACTTGCCAAAGATGACACAGTTGCAGTGGAGCTGGAATGCACACCTGAGGCTCCAAACACCAGATCCCGTGCCTTGCTCAGCCCCAGTGGTGGACGGGAACCCTGGCTATTCTGACCCACACAGGGCACATGGCAGTGGGGGTTGTGGGTGGCGCAGCACAGCCTGGCTCTGTCCTGCTTAAGAAGTGTCTGTTGGTTCTACCACACCCAGGGCTGTTCTGGCCCCTGACTCCACTGTGGGACACACAGGTCTCTCCTCTCTCCTGCTCTCCTCCAAGGCACCTGGAGCCCCAGCCCTCCAGGAGTCTGACTGTGACATTTAGTGCCCATATGCCAGGGAAGTCCTTCTCACAAAGGGCTACAAATATCCTGGGGCTAGCTTTCTACCATTTGTTTTCCTGGGAGGTGTTCTCCCCACAAGGAATGCTGTCAACAGTGTTCAATTCCCCGGGCTTTTCTGGTACCTTCCTCTTTTCCAGGTTTGATAATTTTGGAAACCCGTCATTTTGGATAGACAATGCTTTGACTTTTGTTACACTCTGGTGCCAGAAGATCTCAGATTCAACCCTCCAGGTACTTTAACTTGTCACATGTAAGCCTTGTAACCATTTTAGGAGGTAGGCACCACTAACCCCACTTCACAGATGAAGAAACTGAGGCTCCAGGAGGGGATGTGACTTGCCCAAGGTCACACCCTGGGACTGGGGTTTGAAGGCAGGCTTCTGGCCTCCTTTTTCAGCCTACCACATCTGGACAGCCTCCAGCATCACTTACCTTTTCCCCTTTGGGGCCTGGAAGTCCCTGGAGAAGGGAGACAGAGAAAGAACACGGGTGAGTGAAGAGGGCTAGGCTGACCCCCTTCTGGTTTCCCTGAGGCTCCGAGGGCAGAAAGGCCTGCGAGGCTGAGCAGAGCTGTGAGTGGCTGAGTGAAAAGACATGTGAACCTATCAGCCTTTAGCTGCCCGTGCTGGCCTCAAGGGAGCTCTGCACCTCAGTCCTCACCATGAGGAAGACAGGGCACTGGGGAAGTCACTGGCATCCTCTCTGAACAGGGGCAAATGTGCTAGTCACTCCCCCCAGAGAACAGAGCTCTCCCCACTCAGCCCTTGCTGGGCCCAGACACCAGTGAGGAGTCACTGGCTTCTGGGTCTGGAGGTGTGAGAAGGTGGAGGTGGCTCCTGGCAGGCCACGGTGGTTGCCATCACCCTCTGGCTGCAGGAAATATGTCTCTTTCAGTCTTGCCAAGTTATTAACACCAGGACTTCTAGGGAAGCGGGTCAGGTCACACACAAGGCACTGACTGTGGGGCTCAGAGACCCTGGGGTGGGGGCTAGGCTGCAGTGGGGCCAGTTTGGCGTTCACACTCTAGGTCAGGAGCCTCGATCCCTGGGATGGATCACTCCATCCCAAATCATGTTCTCTTCAGCTAGTAATGGATTCGCTCATTCACTCTTTCAACAACTCATCCGTCTAGGTACTGGGTTCTTTCCTCCCCTCCTTCAATAATGCACCCAGCATCAGTCAGCTCCCCAATCATTTGTTAATCTATTCATTTTTCACTCAATTGTCTGCCCAACCATCATGCATGTATACCTCCCCAAACTCATCTACTCTTGCTTGCATCCAACTGTCTGTACAGTGTTTGATTCATCAGCTCACTTGACTGTCCTTCCATCCACCCACTCATCCATCCACTCATCCATCCATCTGTCCTTCCTTTCTTCCATCCATATCCAATTACTAATTTAATTATGCTATCTGTGTGTATCTTATTTATTCTTCTAAGGACGCCCATGGACCACCTCTGACCCAGGTGTTGAAAACTCTTCAGTGTGGTGTCCGCCATCCAACTCCTGAGACTCTAAGTGAGGGGATGCTATGTGCTAGGGCCTACTGGGAGGGCAGGTGTTTTGAGGGCCGACTGGACATCAGGGACAGTGTTGTTCACAGTTTTTTGCACTCCCAGCATCCCTGTGGGGAGAGTTAATATGACTGTTTGACAAAAAAAGAAGCCTCAGGCTTGGGAGGTGAAAAGGTTGCAGTCAGTAGGGGGTGGGGCTGGATTTGAACTCAACTCTGACGGTCAAATGGCTTCTCTCTATGTTGAACCACATTCACAGTGGCTCCTCCCTCTGGCGTCCACGGTCATTCCCAACCCCAGGGGCAGCCCCATCCCAGGACACCTACAACTGCCCTGTTATCACTTACAGGTTTTCCATCCAGACCCAGTGGCCCCTGGAAAACGAGAAAGAGAGACAGAGAGAGCACAGAGGTTATATCTCTTCTGTGTTTTATGACCCAGAGGCACTGAGTGACGAGAGACCAAAGCCTGCCCTGAGTTCATGGTCTTGGGTACATTTCACACGGACTCTCTGGGTTTGTTGCCCAGAATCCCCTCCTCCGGAAACAGAGCCCATTTCTCCTTCAAAGCCACCCGCCTCCATCACCCCACAGGATTTGGGCATGTGACCACATTCCCTCTGCCAGGCTGAGTGGTTCAGGAATGAGTGTCATGCCTGAGACTCTGAATGGTGGAGCTTTAGCTCTGTGGTGTCTGCAGATGGCCAGTGCCCACTGCACAGAAGCCTCCACTACCTCCCCTTCACCTGTCTTCACACCTGACAAAGCCTTGCTGAGCTCCACCTCCTTGTGGGGGAACAGAGGAATCCAATGGGGGTGCCATGGACTGGGTCTGCCTGGTCTTGACCAGCCTTTGCCCGCGGGGTCTAGCTGTAAACAGTTAGTTTCCCCAGCTGGGTCTCCAGACTGCCCTGGCAGACAGTCATCCGCCAGTTCCCCAGGTGCGGCGACAATAGCTACCTCTTGGCGCCCTTGCTGAAGGGCCTCACTCCAGGAAGGAAATCAGGGCAGTTCTTAAAGCTGGTGCCCTGAGTGCTTCCGGCCACTCGCTTCACATTCAGTCAAGGGTCTGGATGTCAGGGCAATGGCCTGGGGGCAGCTGGGGTCCCAGGAGCAGGGGGGATGGCCCTGGGGTTTCCTGGTGAGGTGCAATTTCAGTCCCCGCCATCTGCAGCGCAGCAGGAGCTGCACGAGCTGGCCTGTCTCCTCGGGCCAGCTCCTGCCCATCTTGACCCGGATCTGTACGAAAGGGCTCTTCTCTTCAGCAGTTCACTAAGAGTGGGCCTCGCCCCCATCCACCCACCATCGGCTCTGGCCCTCATAGGGCCATGTCCCTCTGGGCATCTCTACCTGAGACCCCTCACCCTGGCCTGGCCTTCTCAGAGAGGGCCCAGTCCCATCCTGGGTCTCTTCTGGGGCTACCGGTGGCCTCCATACTCTGCCTGAATCGTAACAGAAGCCCTGTGTAAGGCAGGTGTTATCACTCCCATCTTACAGAGGAGGAAGCTGAGGCCCAGTGAGGGGAAGGCATTGCCCTGGGCCAGGCAGCCAGAAGAAGCGGGGACTGGTGCCCAGATGGCAGGGACTTCAATTCCGTGTGGACACAGAAGCCCATACTGCACTCAAGCCCTGGCAGTGGTCTCACCTGGCCTCTGGCCACTCTCTCCCCCTCTTGTCTGCCCTTGTATTCCTCTGTTCAAACCTCCCTTGCTCTATCCCATTGCCCATTGGATCTTGCCTGTCCCTGGACCCCCAGTCACCTTGACCAGAGTGGTTGCCAGGGCAGACTCTGTGCCCAGGCCCTGAGTGTGTCTGTCTGTCCTGCTGACCTGAGCCCAAACATAGTGCACCCTTTGCCCCTCTTTATTCTGCATGGTTTTAAAAAGTCATAATGCAGATGGAAATTAAAAAGAGACAAAGATGCAGCTTAGAACTAAGTAAGGAATAAGAAGGCAAGGATGTAGAGAAAAAGGAAGCCCTGTGTGTTATTGATGGGAGTAAATTGTGTAGCCACTAGGGAAAACAGTATGCAGGTTCCTCAAATAATACAAAACAGAACCACCTTATGATCTGGCAATTCCACGTCAGGGTATTTATAAAAAAAAAAAATGAAAACAATAACTCAAAAAGATACCTGCACCTCCACTGCAGCATTTTTCACAATAATGAACAGAGGAACAACCTAAGTGTCCACTGATGGATAAATTGATAAGGAAGATGTGGTACACACACACACACACACAGAAATACTATTCAACCATGAAAAGAATGAGAGGAGCTTGACTTTAACAACATGGCTGGACTGTGAAATGCATTATGTTAGTGAAAAAGTCAGGCAGAAAAAGACAAATACCACATGATCTCATTTATGAGTGAGTGAGTGAGTGAGTGGAAGTCACACAGTTGTGTCTGACTCTTTGCAAACCCATGGACTATAGTCAATGGAATTCTCCAGGCCATGATACTGGAATGGGTAGCCTTTCTCTTCTCTGGGGGATCTTCTCAACCCAGGAATCGAACTGGGGTCTCCTGCATTGCAGGCAGATTCTTTACCAACTGAGCTATGAGGGAAGGCCTCTTTTTATATGTGGAATCTAACACCAAACAACAACCCAAAAAACGAGCTTATAGATAGAGAGAACAGACTGAAGGTTGCCAGAAGGAGGGGTGTGGGTGAAATGGAAGAAAGGGTCAAAAGGTACAACCTTCAAGTTACAAGATAAATGAGCTCTAGGAATGTAATCTACAGCAATCAGGACTCGAGTTAACAATACTGTATTGTATACTTGAAAGTTACTAAGAGGGTAGATCTCCAAAGTCTTCATCTCAAGAAACAAAACAAAACAGAGACTAAGGTACAGCTTAGAACTAAATGAAGCTCTTTTCTTCAAATGCCAGGGGCAGAACACAGCAGACCTCACTGCTAAGTCACCAGCAGCAGCTGGGGACATGAGCTGGCCTTGGAACTAGATTGCATGATGAGTTTAAGACACTCCTGATAAAGGCCAGGACACAGAGCAGGGCTTGCTTTGGGACTTGACTCCATTTCCTTCACAGGGTCTGCCCTTGCCACAGCTCTGGGAGACTGGTGCCATGTCCCTTCCTACAGATGAAGAAGCTGAACCAGTGGGATTGTCCAAGGGCTTGAAGTAGGCCCTACTCTCTATGGAACGCTCTCTCTCTCTGGCAGCATAGGGTAGCAGGAGGGACAGAGGCTATCCAGGGAATCTGGGGAGAAGGCTCATAGGCTTTGCCTTCCTGCCAGGATTTCTGGTACCTCTGACTCCCTGAGTGAGGAGACTGTCCCTGGGGAAGGCCTCTCTGGACCCTCTTTCACTTTGAGCCTCTGCCAGGCCCAGTCCCAGTTGGCGTGAAGCATGCGGTGCCATGCTGCCCTGCTTTTCTAGAAATGCCTGCTACAGAAGGGAGCCTGGGGATGTTCCCTCGGCTTCGACCCCAGAGGGGAAAGCTCAGTGCCACCACCTGTCTCTGAGAGCATTCTGAAGGCCAGACCTCAGCAGCCCCTCCTAAGAGGGACCAGGGACCTCTTGCCTTCCAGGCAGGATGTTCCCCCCTGGCACCTCCAAGACTGTCCCAGTGGGTCACTGACAGTGCAGCCTTGGTTCCCAGCTTACTAGTTTGTGAGAAGCCCCCTACATAGCAGAAAATCAAGTTTTCAACCCGGGGTCCTGCCTGTATTTGGGGTCACAGGGCCCTTGGCTCCTGGGACTTGATAAATTTGTAGTTTCAGAATAATGGCAGAGAGGGCACGAAGAGCAGCAACTTTGGAAATGCCCATGGTGAGGCTGAAGGGAAGTTTTGAGTTCCTCAGGGACTCAAAGCTGGAGCTGTATGTGGAGAATCCCATGGACAGAGGAGCCTGGCGGGCTACAGTTCATTGGGTCACAAAGTCGGACATGAGTAAAATGACATAGCATGCACGTGGTTAGATATGATGCCAAGAAGATTCCCTAGGCAAACATAGAATGGTGATGTGCAGATATTTAGAGACCAGAGGGTGCTGGCCTGACTTCGGGGATGCAGCTGACCCAGAGCCATGGCTTTGGTCTGTGGAGGTGGTTCTGGGCTCATCTCTGATGACACCAAGGCAGGAACATTATGCCCAGGCCCTTGAATTCTCTGTCTGGGGAAATAGCTGATGCTTGGAGAGGCTGCTTGGTGACCATGGGTCACTGGAAGTCACTGAGGAGGGAGCTCATAGAAGGGTGGGGTGGAGGAGGAAACAGCTTGGCTTTGGAGTCAGATGGACTTGCCCAGCTTTGGGGCATGATTCTGACCCCTCTTATCCTGGGAGAGGCTGTGGCCTGGGCTGTGACCCTTAGAGGATGGGCCCTGCCCACAGTCACCCTAATACTGCCTTTACCAAACTGGTGTCCATGGAACACTGGTGTCTTGCAGGGTTTGCCTGGTGGTAAGGAATTCTGTGGTCAAGTAAGGAGTTGTTGTTGAGTTACCAAGTTGTGTCCAACTCTTTGAGACTCCAGGGACTGCAGCACTCCAGGCTTCCCTGTCCCTCACTGTCTCTTGGAGTTTGTCTAAGTTCATGTCCATTGAACCGGTGATGCCATCCAACCATCTCATCCTCTGTGGCCCTCCTGTCTTCAATCTTTTCCAGCATCAGGGTCTTTTCCAATGAGTCAACTGTTTGCTTCAGGTGGCCAAAGTATTGGAGCTTTAGTTTCAGCATCAGTCCTTCCAAAGAGTATTCAGAGTTGATTTCCTTTAAGATTGACTGGTTTGATCTCCTTGCTTTCCAAGGGACTCTTAAGAGTCTTCTCCATAGAAGGCTTTTTTGAACCATAGTTAGAAAGCATCAATTCTTCAGCGTTCTGCCTTCTTTACTGTCCAACTCTCGTATTTGTACACAATTACTGGAAAGACCATAGCCTTGAATATATGGACCTTTGTTGGTAAAGTGAATTCTTTGCTTTTTTTTTTTTCCATTTATTTTTATTAGTTGGAGGCTAATTACTTTACATCATTGCAGTGGTTTTTGTCATACAGTGAAATGAATTAGCCATGGATTTACATGTATTCCCCATCCCGGTCCCCCCTCCATTTCTTTGCTTTTTAATACACTGTCTAGGTTTGTCATAGCTATCCTGCCAAGAATCAATCGTTTTCTAACTTCGTGACTGCAGTCACCATCTGCAGTGAAGTAAGGAGTTATACCCTGTGAAATAGGTTTCTTTCCTGCAAGACTTGTCTGAGCCATCATTCTGCTTGTGGGTCTCCTAGAAGGCAATGTTCCCAGCCTCACTGGATCCCTTGTTTCAGGGTCTGGCTGGATCTGTGCAAAGCAACTGTGATGGCAGGCTGTGTGGATGAACCTGGTGTTTCCATGAGTTGGAGGG